CGCTGGACGGTTTCTTCCGCACTGGTGACTTTGGTTATCTGGATAGCAATCATTATCTCTTCATCACAGGACGCATAAGAGAATTCATCAACAAAGGAGGGGAGAAGATCAGCCCGGTCGAGCTAGACAACACCGTTACGCAGCATCCGGCCGTGGCCGAGGCGGCGACTTTCTCCATGCCCGACGACATCTATGGGCAAGATGTCGGTCTGGCTGTAACATTAAGGGAAGGTGAACAAGTGGAACGATCAAAGCTGAAAAGATGGATTCGAGATAGGGTCTCCGCACACAAGGTGCCGGCCAAGATATTCTTGGTGCAAGAACTCCCGAAGACTGCGACGGGAAAGACGCAACGGCAGTTGTTATCTCAGCAAGCGGCTGATGGCAGGCTGGGATAGTCTTATTGCTTTAATTTTTTGGTTCTGGAGCAGTCTCAAATGTCCGCTGTTATCGCACAGAACGCTGTAGCAAAGGGCCGGCCTGACTGGAGGAGGCCTAGATCTCCACCTTTTCCAATATCGTAACACTTTCTTGGCACACTTGATCAAAGATGGCATCAGAGCCAGGTCTGTGGGATAAAGGTCCCAAGGAGGGGGACTAAACTTCTTATTCACCCTGTGATCGATCTTGCCGTATTCCTACACCCTGATATGCGTACATTTTAGGCATATCCAATCAATGTTCCCTAGCTGAGCTGGTAGTCGAACGCCTCTGACCGAAGGCGAGAACAGGGTGTCGAACAGGATATGATGGGAGGATGGGAGGATGGGAGGACGAGAGGACGGGTTTGCTCCGTCCGAAGTACTAGAGCCCGGGGGCCTGGTTTAAGCTCCGAACGAAGCGGCGCTAGCAGGCGGTTATTCGTATCGCACCCGGAAAGGTACCCGGTATTGCAGGATCCCCCGGAACTCACACCCGGATTTATCGGATCTTAGACCGTGCATTACCGGGTAGCACTCGGCTACAATTAGCCACCGATCATACTAGCATCATCAACCAGGACATGCACGCCTTTTCAGTACCTGTCCGAATGGCGCCGTACATCAAGCATCTTCGTCCCCTCCCGGTAAATGATCTTCAAGTCACATTACATACATCTTCTAGCCATGCATCGCCGTCAGCTAGAACTACGGCATCGGCATGACTCGGGCATGATCACGCATGTACAGGCACTTCCGGCATATCTTGAACGACGCCCACCGCATTAATAAGCCGGCGTTCATAGGTAAAGCCGGTTGGGTCTGGCTATGGGGCACGTTAGCTGCAGCATCCTCCCCAGGCGATTTACCGAACCATACCCCAAAATTATGAATTCTTACCAAGTCATTTCCTGAACCACTGTCACTGATTCATACTTATACACCAAATCTGGGGGTATGATTCGGCAAGAAATCATATCCTGGGGAAATGGTTCGCCGTCGGCGTGGTAGCAATTTGCAACACCCCCGCACAACCAGCGCAAAGAGCTCCATAGCCGACCTTGGCCTCATATTGTTGAAAGTAGGATATCAGACATGTTAGAAAGAATGATTGTGACTGAAAGACTGATTATTGATACATGGGATGTACGGATATTTATGTATATAAAACAGGTGGCTGGTAGCTAGTGGCTAATACGCGACATGTATGCGATAGCCGAAGGGGCTGGTATTATAACACATATACGCTACTGTTTTTGTCTCGTGACAACTAGTAAAGGTACAAATGGGAGCCTATGGAATCCCTCCTACACACACCTGAAGAAGGAAGGTTTCACGTCACACCCAGCCGAACTCACAACCTCTTCTTTCCCCGTTCACCCCAAGTCGCGCGGCACAAGTTCGGTCTTCCGTCGACCATGCTTTTCCTTCATCTTGCCTTTCTCCAATCTTGTCATTCACTCTCGCGAAAATGGTTGCACAAGGCCGGCGACTCTTGTGGCAAGCAGTCGTCGGCGCTGGTCTTGCTGAGATCACACTCGCCTGGGACGAAGCTGTCCTTGGTGCTGTCGTTCCAAGAAGCTATGCATGTAGGTACCGGCTACATGCCGTACAATTCGCCACAGTGGGACCGGGGCTTAGTGGGTCTTATGCTACTGCCGCCGTTTCAGGTCCTTGTCAGCTACCCTGACAGGGGTAGGAGACAGGTGTTCACTAAGAGCTATATAGATGCCAGTCTTGGACCTGCCGATGGCACTTCTTTCGGGTTCGTCTCTTTCATAGCCATTGCATACTTTTTTCCCACCCACCCACGCCTGTCCCTAGTCATTCTACTCCAGTTCTATGCCATGGGCATGGAAATTTCCTTGCGCCGGGGTACGAGAACAACGTCTGTTTAGACCTCTATTTTCGCCCATTCAGGCTTGCTATCCCCGGCACGAGACCGCCAAACCATTTATTTACCTCCTATGTGCGTTACACTTGTGCGTATGATGCGCTTTTTCACAAATAGAATGAGACAACTAATCTGCCCTTAACTGACGTCCTACCAGCGGCCGTCCGTGACCACGATATCCATGATCAGCTCAGATTTCATACTTGGGGCTTGGCTTGGGAGCTCCCTTCTCATCTTCTTGTTCGGCATTTGCTTGGGCAGACGTACATGGCTCCTGAATGGCGACACTATTTGGAATTATCGTCACCCTCATTGCGGTCACCAGGTACAACTATGGTCCGATGATTGCCGGTAGAAACTTGCTTGTGGGTCTTGTGTAACGCAGCAATGATCCAACAAATAGCGGGCTTCATAAAGGTCACGGCTGCCATATACGTTAGTGAGACGGCAATAAAGACTAACAAGCGTTCGTCTGCTGTCCACTATCTCATCGGTAAAGCGAGTCTGGGGTCTGCTTCTGCACATTGGCTGTGAGGGGGCGGTGCTGTGAAGGCGGAGCCGGAGGTTATCTCTATCTTATATGTTTTGGATGGGCAATCCAGGCGAGCGAGGAGCGCGAGCGGGCTTTGCTGACGGACGGAGCATGCGTACGACCCAAGCACTGGGTAAGCGCGCGGTACGAGTATGTATGTAGACGGCGTCGTGGGGGGACTCGGGGCTACAACACTTCGGAACGAGACGTACGTATGTAAGTACTGGTAAATGATGCAAGAGGCGAAGCATGCAGTCATACCTCCGAAACACCAGAATCATCAAATATATCAAAGTCCGCACAAATCATACCCGCGCTGACCGCACGCCCTGGCAACGATCCCGAAAAGCCAGGGTTTCCACCCCGCCGGCTCCAGCCTCCAGCGCGCCTGTGAGCTGGTATCAGACGTTCTGCATCTCCGACCACGCGAGCGGCATCCTCTTGCATGTCTTCACGTCGTCGGAGGGCCAGAATCGGACGTGCGCCTTTTCTCCGCGCGCACGTCGGGCCCGGGCCGTTTCTGGGCGTGGGATGTCGTACCTACGCCTAGAAACAGCGACGGAACGGAAGTCCCGCCGCTGGATCGGAGCGGAAACGGCGGGTGTTCTGCGTTCGGTGTTGGAGTTCCCAGGCTGTGGTGCGGGAGTCGCGGCTGGGTGTGAAGATTTCTCCTGAGGTGCAGCTGCGGATAGTGGGGTTTGGGTGGGAGGCGACGGAGGTGCGGTGGCGGGATGGTGGGTGGGAGATCGTGTTAATGGCTTGTGGGACTGGTGATGGGGTGGAGTTTTGTGGGTTCGTGGAGAGGGGGGAATGAAAGGTCCGCGCTGGAAGAGGGGCTGGTCTTAGGGGGGTAAACGTCTACTTGCATAATGAGACAGTAGACCCTATACATCTGTGCTTTTTTTTGTTTCTACTTAACAACAATCCCTTGCTCTTCTGCTAAGAATAGTGCCCAGGCAAGACGATACTCTTATACTGTACCCCCTTTTCAACCTTCCGTCCCTCTGTCGCTCGTTCTCCATGATGACGAGTACTTCATGTGGACAGGATAGTGTTGAACCGGTCCTTTTTAAAGGCTGTCTTCGATTTTAGCAGCAAATAAGAGTTATGAGATGGAAGTAGAAAAAGCAAAGACACACTAATGGGACGCGCCGCCGACTGACGGTTCCGTCGATGAGCATTGTGCATGCAAATAGAGCGATTCGCTCGAGCTCGGTCTGTCCCGCCTATCGCTCCACATTCGGTCCTGGCTGCCACAGGAGTTGACTAGTTGCCCATTGCCACTATCTCATCATCGACTTGTCGATGCAATTGGTCCTCTAAGTTGCGCGATACCTACTGACTTGACTGGGGGGGGGGGAAGGTGGGGGGCAGACTTCTATTCGATTTTCGTACTCTGACGAGCTGAAGGACTGACAACAAGTCTGCGACAATCATGTATTGATTGACGGAGATATCGTTGTACGCATACCAAGACTTGGGACGAGGGGGAGCACTGCCTGGTGCTAAAGTCGCCCATCGTAGGTACTGATACGTACCGCGAACGGGTCTAGCGTTTGGAAGCCGTACATAAGGGTGAAGTAGAATCTAGTCTGCTACCAGGCACTGCAGTTGTCACAGTGAATCAGCTTCAACACTCGACATCCTCAACAAAACCAGCGCATGGGCTGATTTGCTGTTCGGATCTACGCCAAATTTCGAAGACGCAGCTGAGGGTTTTGGCTGCTTGCTTCCGGCGCGTGGAGAACTGGCACCTGAGTTGGGACAAGTAATGTATAGATGAAGACGGGTAGAAAAGGGGGTTCTGCCCCTTTTCTGGGGGTTTTTCCCATTCGCGAGACCCATATTGTTACTTCACATTTTGCACTGGTTGTTAAAAGGAAACCCCCACGTTCAGCTTCTTCCGCAGTACTTTCTCTGAGCGAGGTCTCCTATGCGCACTTTTCATGCCGCGTATCAACTTAGTTTGTCCTAGACTCTCTCAACTTCGACCCGCTTGATCCGGCCTTTGTCTGCGAAATGTCCTCTCTATCTGTGATTCCTGAGGCAAAACGGGTCTGGTCACCACGTCCACCGCGAACTTATCTTTAGAATCTTGGTGCCAGAATTGGAATCCCAAAACCAATAGATCAATCATCTCCCCCGGTCCTTCCCAATGGCGACCCCTGCCGCGCAAAGATCGTCCCACAACACCGATGCCGAGTACAACCTACCAAATGAGTAGGCATCATCCCCTCTCCCTACACCCCCCACGCACTCACACGTCATGCCACCACCAACGACCCCCCAGCACCGTCGAGCATAACCGCCTCGAAGACCAAGCCGCCGGCTTCGCAGACCTCATGCACAACCGCGTGATCCACGCCCCCCTCCGCAACCCGCACCGCCTCCTCGACATCGGCTGCGGAACCAACGCCGTCACGCACCATCTCGCCGCCACCTACCCGACCGCCTCCCACATCTACGGCCTCGACCTCTCCCCCGTCCCGCACATCCACCGGCCCCGGGCGGCCCCGACGGCGAACGTCACGTACATCCAAGGCGACGTGAAAAAGCTGTCCAGGACCGACGAACGGCTCGCGGCCGGCTCTTGATCTACGGCATGGTGGACTGGGCGGGCTACATGCGCGATACCGTGGTGCCCTTGTTGAAGCCGGGCGGGTGGGTCGAGTTGCAGGATCAAGCACGGCCGCGTCTGCAGCGACGACTGGGAATGGGTCCGGGCGATAAAGGCAGGCGCGAAGAGGAAAGGCTTGGATCTGCACTGCGGCAGCAACGTGGCCGGATACATGCGGGAGGCGGGTCTGGTCGATGTGGGTATGACGCGGTATTCGGCTCCGTTCGGAACATGGGCCGCGGATCAATGGCCGGAGTCGCGGCGTATCGGGGCGCATCAGGCGAGGGAGCTCGCGCCGTTATATGAGTTTATCGTGCCGCAGATGGTGGAGGGGCTGGGGTTGGGCAAGGCGGAGGTGCAGGAGTTGGTGAGGGAGAGTCGAGGGTGTTTGCAGGCGGAAGATGGTAAGGAGTGGGTTATGTATGTGACTGTAGGTCGGCGGCCGCCTGCATAGCGTAGGCTCATCACGAATCAATCATATATACGCTTCACGGTTGCAAAGATGAACACGAGCCGCCCACAATCCAAAAACTGATTGCGCCCAGCATCGATCGGCAGCGGCTGTATCTTCGGTAATACTTTTGAAGTAGTAGACTAGTGTTGAAGAAGACTTTCTTCATGCTCAACGAACTCTCATCATACGGTCCTTCCAATACATAGCACCCACCATAAGTCTAGATATAATCAATGTAAAAACACCAAAACCCTTCAGTCATTCCACGGGCTTGGGGTGAGTGATCTAAGTATGGAGATTTTGATGGGTTTTCACCGTGGGAGCATTGACTGAACAGATATCGGGAGGGGGAGAGGAGTGGCCGTGGAGAGCTCTTGTTGAGCTGAATTAACGATGTTGGCGTCCTTGAAGACGGAGACGCGCAGCTGTCTTCCCGGTGGGTTTGCAGTCTCGCAATGTGGCTGTGGTCGCTCTACATGAGCCAGGCATATGGAAGCATTGAATCATTAGTCGTCGATGTCGAACTCTATCTGCACTTCACAATCATTATCATCACTACGCTTTGCCATTTTACCTTCAACGCCAACATCAACAATCCAGATTTGGTATCCCATCGCACTCCTCTGCAGCATCAATGTTCAGTTTTCCAGTTCCCTCCAGCCCATCCCAAAATGCCCTCAGACACATACCTTAGATGTAAAACATCGTTTTTGTCAACCATTTATGGACCTTCACGTCATCATTCACCAACTCATTCCCACCACTCCCCTCGCTTTGCGATGAATCGAAGACTCTGCTGTTCCAGCGCCTACCCCTCTCACACGCAATGTCCGCGTAGTAAACGGGTGGAGGGATGCTGACTGACGTTGTGGCTCGGCAGAACAGGTAGCACATGTTGTGCGTTATGCTGTAGAGAAGATCAGAAGCGTTATTGCATTTGTTTTTTTGCAGCATCTCCGGGGTGTGGTTTTTGAAAATCTCGTCCAAGAGGACGAAGTAGTGTGCTGGACGTGCGGTCCCGTGAAGAGCGGTGTGTGACTGTAGGTAGAAATCCCAATCTCGCACTTGATCCACGATTGCCGTATCGACGACCTAGTTTGGAAGTCAGGATGTCATCTTTGTAGCGAGAGAATGGGTTGGCAACGAAAACGCGGAGAGAAGGCAAGCACTGAGAAGTTTGGATGCCTTTGGAGATCTTGCGAGTTGAAACTCCCACTACTAAGGGCGAGATAAACAAAAATGTACTCACAGTTCCAAAAGGTGGGTTGCCGTCTTTTCCCTCATTGGTTCTGATAATTTCACCTGTGATTTTTGAGCGGTAGAACCGAGTATGGTGACGTTTGCCGACAATGATGAGGGTTATACGTGGAGGTCTCTGGTCTCCGTAGGCTAATTCACAAGCCGCTCGGAGCTGCGGCAACTCTTCGTCAAGCACCATCTGATACTGGCCTTCGGAAACTCCGTCGCGGTATATCAGAAGTTTTTCTGGAAATGATCCATGCTTCTCTTTCCAATATATTAAATGTGATCGAAGCATCGGGCGAAGCATTTCGACTTGTTCTTGACGGGCTGGGTTGATGCGAATCTCAGCTGGCCATTGAGCTAGGTGTTTATCAGAGCTAGCGACCATGGCGGCTACACTTGGCGCAACGGGTCCAGATCCGGGAGACGGATGGGTCACATCTATGCCAACAACCATTGTTTCACCTTCGCTGATGAAGCCTAATTGGTCATTTTTGAGCACCTGGTTAATTCCGTCATTTTTGATGTTCACCTTAAGCGCGACGTTCGCGTAGTATTGCGTCGATCTGAGCTCTCCACGGTCGTTCGTCGCGGTGTTGTAGAATTTATTTTTTAAACCCACGACGCAAATTGTTTGGATGCCATGTTTGAGGTCTCCAAGTCGCTTGACCTGGTTGTAAAGCTGCGAGTCTTTGTTGGGTAGTACAACAAGCAGGAGGCGGATGGCAGGCTTGGAGGACTGATAATTATGAAAAATGCTGACCAATTGGTTGAGTTGGCTTGCGCTTAGGTGAGTCGTGTGTGGTCCTGATGCTTCAACACCACAGTCATTGAGAACTTTCACGAAGTTCTGCACGAAAGTGTCGTGCTTTTGCTCAGGTCGTTGGCCGTAGTGAATATTCAGACAGGCCCAACTTCCCAACTTCTTTGAGCTCCTGAACTTCATACCTCCCAGGTTCCATCGAGAACTTCCACCATATTCTCCAAATTTGTCCTTTCCATACTTGTCGTGGAACATTACGGTCGGTTGTGGCAAGACACGACCCTGGAGTACCACTCTTTTAGGGTCAATGGCTATGCCAAGTCTTGCCTATCGACGTTAGTGTCATCTTGGTCATGTCTAGCTCTGTGGAAGGATGGCAGTCTTACCAGCTTTGGGTTATTTGTCAGACCAAGCGTCGAGAATCCGCGGTTGCTGATGGAGTCTGCATTGTGACAAGGAACGCGTACGGCAAATCTTTGCATGATAGCCGTTTCGTCTGAGCTGAGCGTCAATTTTGATGGTTGGGCAATCACAAGGCAGGCGCTGAGCGGTAGGTATGCTGGATGTTGTGCATTCCCAACATTGACAACGGGCATAGTCTCAGAGACCTGATGCGACGGGTATTCTACTGAAAGTCAGTCAGGGCGGGGGAAGGGAGATGACAGATTAACATACTCCTTTTGAAGTAATCGTAGACGCTAATGTAGGAGCCATCGCAGCCGCATTGACTAAGATTGTGAGCGGTCAGACGGCCATCCTTGGCCTTTTCTTTGTCTTTCAGTCCCATGGCCGGCTTGGTGGATATGTATTCGAAGAACTCTACATTCCGGGGTCCAGCTCCGAACGTTGACACCCTTGGCGGATGGGCCTCATAGCCGTTACCTTGTCCAGGAGATGCATATCCTGAAATCGTCCTGAGGATCTTTTTGGGTTGTAAATGCGTGAGTTCTACTCGCAACGTTTTAGAAGACCCGGAATGCTTGTAGCATGGACTTGCGGACGATTCTCAATCATTCTGAACACAAAGGGCAGTTGTCTTGGAACGTAGAATGGCCCGTGACTGACGTTGACGTTGACTAAGATTCCGGCTGTCCCAAGGCGGACACTGGAAAAAAACCCTCGAAGAGCGGCTAGCAAAGCTCTCTCCTCACGCTGGCCTTCTGAAAGGAAAATTGGCTCCACGTTTGGAACTCGCAATGGAAATGCTTTCCGCTTACCGATCATGGCAATGTCCGGCGATAATTTTCGGTAATGACCAAGAACGATATCGAGATCCTGCGCTATTGGTAGATTTCCCTGGTTTGCTGAGCCATCTTGGGCGTTTGTAGCATTGATGAAGTCGACCATCCTGATGAATTCGAATCTAACGTAGTACTTCCTAGGGTCACTTGAATCTTCAGCGCCACTTGAAATTTCGTTGTCGTTGGAAGATTTTGCATCATTTGGGTCTTTAGCGCCGTCCCCCTTCTTGTAAGGTACAGAGACCTTCATCAAATCACCAGGGAGCATTTGGGGTGATAACAGGAAGGCCGAAAAGTCTGAGAAGATTACAGGTCTCAGAAGGTCGAATTCCGGAAGACTCAGTGCCTCTTTGATCATCTGGGTTAGCTTCTTTCCTTTCGCCTCGGGCGAGACTGTGATGCTGTAGCGATACAGCTTTAGACCCGGCCTAATAGCCAGTTTGAAGTGGTTTGTGGAAAGAGTGACGGGGTTTCCTTTAGTTCCGGTGCCGCCTGGTCGTGGTTGAAGCTGTGGATGGGTTCTCTCAGGCGATTCGGCTCCTGAATCCGCATTGGTTGGATCGCTGATCGATTGTTTCTTCTCGGAGCCTTCCGCACCAGGCAAAGTCTCTTGTAGTTGAGCGACAGTCGAAGAGCCTGGCTTTGTATTGTTCAAGCCAGCCAAACTTCGGTTTGGTAGTCCGCCAGTTGGATCCATTTGGGCTGCAGCGAGCCCAGCAAAAGATTCGCCCGTATTCCTATCATTACTAGCCGAAGCATTTGGGCCAGGTGTTTTGGTTGGCTTAGTCGACCTAAACAAACGTTGAGTCGAGCTGGGATACGATCGGGTGCAGCATGGATCAAACTCACACGGCTGCTTGAGCAGGCTGACCTGAAGCTTGACCAGCTTGACCAGAACCTGTCTGTGTCAAAGGCTGAGTTGGCTGAGTCGAAGACGGAGTTGCCTGGGCAGGCTGGTCTGGAGTTTGTGTAGTATACCGAGCACCAATCGGTGCCGGAGTCTGGCTAGTCCCGGTCGATGTTCTATCTATGTGAGCAGGAATGTAAGTACTGAGTATGAGAGAAGGATATACTGACGGTGGTTTTTGAAGGGATGGGCCTGGTCCATAGCCGGTTTGAGCAGGGGTTGGTAATGGGACAGTCGAAGACCTAACTTTGTCAGTCTATCTCGAAATAATATGGTAGAGAAGCAGAATGTACTGACGGGCCTGCTTCAGTATTCTCGTAGTTGGTGCCGCTCTTTCCCTTACGCCTACTCCTCTTTGCCCCTTTGGCTTTCTCATCGCCGGACACAGGGTTCCAGCCAGGGACGTCCTTTTTCGGGGGCATGATGAGATTGTGCGCCGGCGCTATGGTCGGCCGTTAGATAGAGAGCAGATTTTAGTGGTGACGAACGGGAAGTTATTGATGAGCAAGGTTCACTCAGCAGGCCTTCCCACAATACACAGACAAAACAAGTTCTGATGTTCTGTGAGTTTTCAAAATTTGTGTTTCTCGGCGATGAAGAATACAATTTGTGGTTGTGGAGGAATGCTTTCATGTTTTCGGGAGAATGCTGCTTTTGTGCTCCCAGTACGCGATTTGCAAATGCAGGCGGGAACGACCTGGAGTGATCCGGATACGTGGCAAGGTACGTGGCTGAATACGCAAACAAACAAGTCGCAAGCAAGCAAGCAAACTGCCTGCATGATTCTGCAATGAGCTGTGAGGGAAAACCTCTCGGGGACAAAGCGCATGTATTTGTGCTTTGCAGCCACAATATTCTGCTCGGCAGATTCAGCTTGTAAAAGAATTTGAGTTGTAGAAGAAGGGCGTCCAACATTGAAGAAGATAATGCATGCGTTAGGCGCGGCTACCGATCAAATCTTTCTAGGTCTCATTCTATAACAAAAATGACTGAGATAGAACGTCGCGTTTCAGCAAAGCAAAAGTACCGCTTGAGCCGCCGCTTTTGATCTTTTGCATGAAAAGAAGTACGGCGCCCACAACTAGATCCAGCCAAGAACTTGCAGCAATACCAAAAACAATTTATTCAGCAAAAGCATGATGGCATAAAGGAGACGCGGTAGGCTGACTTTAAGGCCATGGAAGAGAGGTAGCGCATGCAGGCTGATTACTGTTGTAGATCTTGCATAACTGGGAGTACAATAGTCCTTTCTAGGACAATACGCTATTGGGTTTTTAGCCAGTTGAGTCCAAGAGTTCCTTCCACGAGGGTTGGGTTTCTGCCAAGCCATGCTGCGAGATAGCTCGCTACTGCTTCTGTCAACACCAGGTCGCGAACGCGTCTTTTTGTTCGCCACTTCCGAGTTCACCCGTCTGATGGTGCCTCATCTATGCGGTCTGCGTTGCGTTCATATTCCGTATCAGCAGATGTTGAAGGATTATACTCGGAGGAAATTAGTTTGATACGCGAAAGCTGTTGATAGGAGGAAGTTAATTCACTAAGATCTACTTTTACTGGGCTTGGCAAAATTCGTCATGTGATGCCGCTAGGCCAGAATAGCTATAGTGTTCTCGTCATGAAATCTTTTGGTCTGTGTCGTGATCTCTTTTATTCGGCCACACATTTGATACATCGAAGAACGTGTCAGCAGTCTCCATATATAGCTGGTAGCGATAACCAGAGGGAAGTTCATGGCCTATCCCACCATTTACCCTGCTTTTCTCGTGATGAAACCCTCCTCTTGTTAAGCAGCACTCGACCACAACACAATCAACCTAGCAATTTTTGCGGATGAGACCAGGATCTGGTACCTCACCGTGGCCATCGGGAAACTCCTTTCATATTCAAGCGACGGATGTCGAGTGCTTACAGAACGTCCGGTGGCGTTGCCCACGCAAGGGCGTCGATGTCGTCTCGTCCGTACGCTGAACGGTCACCCCACCAGTCTGACAAGAATGAAAGCCTGCTAGATCGTGTGTCAACATCAACATGTTTGAACGCCTGCTTGGTCCGCAGGGACGATACACTGTTTGGTATATTTGACAACTGCCTAGGTTCGCGGGGTCATGATGGTATGCCCAAGGCGATCAATTCCAGAGCCGCTTCGTATATAAAAAAATTGCTCGCAAGGTCCAACTGCTGTATGGTGTCATGTTTAGTAGTGGAAAGGATACAAAACTAAAGGTGGTCTAGCACATGAGGTCAAAGAAGCTCCCACACAAAGCAAGAGCAAGCCTTTCTCCTTCAACGTCATTTTGACGAGAAATATCTTGTTATCTGAACGCGGAGCCGTGGCAGAAGGTGTTCATCTATCTCTCAACAAATTTCTTCCCCACACGGTTGTGCACAAGCTCTTTACATCTTGCTATTGCACCCAAAAGCCTTTAAATAATGCGCGGACATGGAGACCTGTCGTCCCTAGGTGGCCCAATCGTCACAAGGCCCGAATCTGCGTGGCTACCTTTGTTTCACACCGCTTGACCGGCCGAAGCTCGAAATCTCAGAGCAGAGCTAGCAGGAATCTGCACTATTTCTTCGCACACCGGCACCATCCAGGTCACCGAGATTGGACGACCTGCGCACCTAAATTTTCAAAGGCCCACCCTCTGTGCTTTGCTCTTGCTTCCTTCCACATCATATGAGATGCTGGAGCTTGAAATTTGAGAGCTGTCGTGACCTTGCAATACTTGCCACTTCATCTAAGACCACCGAGATCGGGACTAATCTACAGATCTGGAGCTGCAAGCATCCTAGTCTTCGCAACCTCCCCTTACTCATCGCAGACTCTTCCTTACTTACCTGTCTTTGGCTTCCTCACTCTTATGTCGTTTTCTATTCGCTGTCTCCAACAGGATGGCTTCGTACGGCCAACCGAGTCCTTCATTGCCAACCACTTCCCTCTTCCACGTCTCAGTGTTCGGCGGAAATTTAGGGCTTTCAGATTCGACATGGTCCTGCAATCTCCATTTTGGCATCGCGTCGATGTCCCCGAGCTCGGAAAGCTTGACTTTCAGCTGGCATAGCCCTGCTCTGCGTAATCACTTCATTACTCCTACAACACTTTCACCGACTTTGACTTTCAGTGCCGGAACATAATTCTATACATCCCATTTCAATATTGTTTTCATGCGTTTGAGCTCACACAGTCTTGCACCTTTAGGTTGATAAAGCTCTGCTGGAGGAATCTAATGTTACTTCTACGTCTAATCAATCTCACGAAGTCGAGAAAACTAAGCTGCCAAGTTACTTATTTCCACGTCACTTTCACATCACCAAGCTTGAATAACTTTGAGCCCAAGTCGGGAAAGCTTTGCTTTACTTGTATGCACGCCACTTCTACGTCCCACAAGCCTCTTAAGCTTGAAGTCTTCAATCCAACAAGTCTCATACACTCTTTCATCATATGCTATCCCTAAGTAAATGGAAGACCATAATGAGATTTGACAGAGATATTCTTTTACCGCCTTTCTCAGTACTTCTACTAGCTTTATGTCCTTCTCTGTGTATTAAACTCGTTGGAAAAGCAGTAAAACTATACCCTGAAAGACAGTGCAGCAGTTACTATAGTTTGCGCTTTTCATTCACGCGCTTGCATGGTACTAGACTTCTTTCTAAATTCTTTAACTTCCAAGCCGATACTGCTTTACAACGCCGTTCTTTTTATTATACATCCTGGTTCACAAAGTATCTCGCTATATCTAATCTAGGTCACTAATCACTTCCCAGATAAAATAAGGAATGGCATTGAATCATCAGTCTTCTTTTACTTTTCAGATGAGATATAGAACAGAGATAACTGCGCGTCTTATTCACAACGTGGTTGAATTGGAGAAGCGTAATTCTATCAGTTCTTAGACGATACAAGAAAGGTAATAAATATATAATCGCTTCACGAAGTCAGTCGATGCGAAAAAGCCTAAGCCTATCACTTCTGAGATGAGGTGAAGGATGGCAATGGGCGCGTTTTTCTTTCACAAAGTCAGACAACGTGAAAAAGCCTAAGTGTGTCACTTCTAGGACCAGATGAAGGATTGCAATGAAGGCGCATCACATTCACGAAGTCAGTCGAAATGAAGAAGCGTAAGCCCATCACTTCTCGGGCGAGACAAAGAATAACAACGAATAGGCATCATCTTCACGGAATTAGTTGAAATGAAGCAGTGCAAGTCCGTTGATTATCGGGCGAGTCGGCGAACGGTAGTGAGTATGCGTCTTATTCACAAAGTCGGTCAAGATGAAGGAGCGCACGCAATGAATGCGTAACGCATCACTACTCTTTCGAAATGAAGCTCCATAAGCATCGAGGACTATATAAACCTGGGAAACCCTCGACTCCAAGCCATCTTTCTTTCTACAACATCGGACTTGCAGCCAAGGACAGCAGCAAACCTTCAAGCACATCAGCCAAGTTGGGTCATTTCTGTTTCCATTGCTTCACCATTCTTGACCACAATTCTCTTTGCTTCTTCTTGAATCGGACATTAAAGTCACGCATAGCGGTCACCAAGTCTTCCTTCTACAGTACCAGACCTTGAAGCCAAGCACAGTATTCGATCTCCCCTTCCTTTTCTCAGCATTGAACTGCAAAGTCAAGGACAGTAGTCACCACTGACCTTCTCAAACATTTGACTCCCTTTGCTCTTACAATCTTCTGCTATTGCGATACTCGACAAAGTCATATTCATCGAGCTTTTTACACATTTATCATTCATTTGTTCGTTTGAAAGCATGTCTTCGACCGGGAGCATTGATGAGAACGCCGGCTCGGAGCCATCGCGCAGGTCAATTCGCGAGAGGAAGCAAGCCCAACATTTTGGGCACTCTGAGCCAAATGAGGAATTAGAAGAGCTTGTAAGTCGATTTCTGATCTTGGCGTGCTCTTAAAAAACCTAGCATACAGCAGCACACTCGTTGGACTTCGTGGCACTGACTCTCCTCAGATCGAGGCTCCCAAACCAAGGAAGATTGCGCCTGCTGTGCGCAAAGGAGGCAAACGAGCAAGTGGGAGGCCAAGTTTATGGGTGAAGCTACCTCTACCTTCTCAAACCCCTGTTTTGCCTTCGCCTCGACCTCAAAATTCTCCGGAAGTAAAGGTCGAGAACAGTTTTGGAGCTCCCCCGGAATCTTCCTCTCAAAATTCGAAGAAGAGGAGCGCTGCGCTTCCTGATAGCCACGACGAGTCTGATTTATTCATACCATCATTACGTCAAGGTACGACCTTGAAGAAGCAACGTCTGGAGTCTTCGGCTCCTAAGCAAAGGGCCGTATTAAGAGCCAAAGTCGTGCTGAATTCAGGCAACGAAACTCGCCCTGGACCTCGAGGCCAGCCAGAAGTGTGGGCAGAGATGCGACAAGCATTGTGCGAGTCGCTAACCTACTATCAGGCATACCAGTCAGGTGCCTACACTTGGGAAAGCTCAAATGGGTCGGCTGGTTATGCGTACGGCTTTCTCTTAGATAACGATAATGACGACTATGGCTATATGGACGAGAAGGTTGTGATCACCAGACTCGGCGGTGGAATGACTAGCACCAAGTCTGGCAAGATGGTACAGACTGAAGACCAGAGCAGCTCGTCCAAGAAGGTCACACCATTTGTGAATAACCAACGAGACCGCGTTCCTGTGATACTCATCGTCGGCGCTAAAAATCCACATTGTCCCACGAAAGTGCCGCACCGTTACAACGTGCTGGGTGTGTACCAGGTCACAGACATATGGTCGGAGAAAGTCAAGGGAAAGGTGGTGTGCCGAGTGCGTTTTGAGATGATCGACCTCAAGACGCCAAGCTGGTGCGGCATCCACGGATCGTCCTTGCCTACGCCAACCCCTGATTATAGTACAAAAGCGTCACTCAAGACTTGCATCACTTGTAACACTTCAAGCAAAGAAGTCTCCACAACAGGATGGATGTGTCTCAATGAGACTTGCGCGAACTTCTCAATCATCAACGGACAGGCCGACCAGGAAGCTCCGACCTGGAACCCAGCGTTCATAGACGAGCGCAACAAATGGCCTGCCCATATCAAAGCGCCTTTGCAGCTGAAGCCGGCTCCTCCGAATGGCCTACTGAATGCTTCACTGATGGAGACATCTTTGCAGGCTTGGAAAGGGATGGTCTGTCGTGATTGCGGCAGATGCAATTCCCGAACAAAGTGGGACGAATGGAAGTGCGAAACCGAAGGTTGCACCTTCGAGGTACCCATCCATTATCCGATCATTCCACGAAGTCAGCTTGCACCAGATCATGCCTTCGCAGCTGAGGGACACTCGATCCCATTCGACAAGTGGGAAGCACCGGTCGTTCGCACAGAATCAGAATTCCATGGCTATTGGCGAAAAGCGACGTATGAGATTTCTCCCGGCAACTTCATCACTCACTACTTCGCGAATGAGGTCATCAACCGACAACCTGGCGGGGCGGATGAAGCCCTCGAGGCCTTACAAGGAACCAAATTAGGCATGCAGAGGTTTCCACTGGAGAACAGCCCAGGTAGGTGGTTCGCAAAATGCTTCACGTACACAGTACTAACTCGAAAAAAGTGGAAGGCGAGATGATAACAAAGCACTTTGGCATTAACTTTGTATGTTTCCTCTAACATTCACACATCCGTCATTCCTGCTAAACAGATGTAGGGCTTGCCATACAATTATGTCGTCGCAGTGGACTCCAGAGGCTTCTCGGAGGCTCCACCAGCGATCATGGAAGCCGTAAACCACCTGACTTGGGCTGGCAAAGACGCGATCAAGGATGGCTCATACCGGCCATTCAATGAACTGCTGTGTCTGGGATACATGGAGAAGCAGTCAATTGGGGTAAGTCCTTTATACTTGCAGTACTACTCAAATCTTCTACAAACGCTGATGGGATCCAGTGGCACGATGACGGTGAGAAGGATCTTGGCCCGGATATCGCATCTTGGTCGCTGGGAGGTGCAGCCACCATGAGCTTCAGGATGAAGTCCAAGTACTGGAAGTTCAAGGAACGTAACGCCGAGAACTACGATCCCGAGCTGCCCGTGCGCCCTGGCTCTCAGGCTTGGAAGGAGCGCATCGCCCTCAACGAGCTCTACCAGGCTGGTCACATGGACGAATACGAAAAGGCCAGGACGGCGCTCTTTAAGGCCTTGGATAAGAACAAGAATAACGGGCCTACTGTGTTGTCCTTGGAGCTCAGGCACGGAGACATGGTGGTGATGCATGGTGAAGACATCCAAAAAAACAACGAGGTATGCGCTCCTGCCCACCACTATCTCTTTCACATTTATTAACACGCTTTAGCACGGTGTTATGCCAAAGGGAAAACTTCGCTTTGGATTGACGGGCCGGTACATCAAGCCGGAGAATATCCCGGTGGAGGAGCACTGGAAAGGAGAATTCACCATCGCGCCGGAGAAGGTCTATGATGGTGATCTGGCACTTTTCAAGGCGAATTTCCCAGAGGAAGAGGATTAGACGGAGGGTTCTGCTGGAAGGGTGGGCGCATAGCATAGATCTTAACCACGTACTTGAGACACTTTGCAGCAACTTAGGTAGAATTGACGCTCTGATTTACTAGCTTTTGTCATAATGAAGCAAATTTTGATTGCTGTTCATGGTAGCTTCCGCTTGCAATGTGACTGTAGAGAGGTAACAAACATCTGAACAATACAAACTTTAAATACATCAAAGTACTGAGTAAGGAGACTTCTGAGGCTGCTTGCCCGTATAACAACGCATTCGAAGGGTAAATAATGGGAAAAAATAGTAAAGCTTATAATAAGTATAGGCTTCTTACCTTTCTTTCGATATAATTTAAGAAATAATTAAATCTTTAAATGAGATGCTAATGGATATCAACCCCTTACTTTGTCGCTTGCTCAATGTTCAGCTTTCTCTCTAAGCGGGTTTGGAGGAGATAGGTCTTGCGGCTCAATGGGAAGGATAAGCGCTTTGATGCTGGCGATGACAGGAGGCAGCAGCAAACGGATCGCCGCTGAATGCATGGCTCCTTACTTCGGAACCTTGGTAATCCAAGAGGGCCGAAATATAATCTAGCTACAAAAGTCGCTCCCATCATGCAAGGCTCTTCTTGTACTCACCTTGACGTGTGGAAGAACGAATGACGGACGAGGCTTCCGTAGAGTCGTGTCGTGGGTGTCAGAAAACACAGATAACAACGGTAGGCTCGCGAATCAGAAGCATTGCGGTGGGAATAGGAAATCACCACTTGCTGAATCGCATTCCTTGTGTCAAATCTGCCATGAGACGGGAGATAGCCCCCCCGTGAAACACTCCGTGAGTCCCGCAATATCGACGTGAGATTGGAGAGCATCGCTAGAGCGGATAAGTCTCACAGCAGAATATTTACGCGTGCGAATCCAATCATGTCGCGTTTATCTCGGGATATGCGCTAGCGCGTATCATATTTAGCTCAGCCTTGTGAAGTCATTTTAAAATCTAAATTCTCCGTTCGTCAGACTGTTCCTATACTGCCTGCATGGTCGTCACTCTCTCATGCCAACTGTCGAAATATCTACAGACTTCTTGTTCCATTGTTCTACGGGGATAAAACGTTGTTTTAATCAAGCTTGACCCCACCTATTCCTCGAGAATACACCCTTCAACCACCTAGATCCCGTTTGCATGGGAATGTTCACCACTGTTCAGATGGCGGCTATCATACAGCCTACAGCTCAATAGCTCAGCATGATGCACTGTATGAATATCCTCGAGCCTTGGCGCGTTATTCTGCCCTTTTTTAAGGTGCCCTACTCTCCACATTCCTCCCTTCAACGCCATCCTCACATCCTGTCCATTCCGAGGCCAGCAAGCGTCTTCTCTTATGAAGAAGACGGGGTTTCGTCACCACACCGCTGATCTGGCATCTGGAGATCTTACAATCAAGCTAAGGGTTGACGCGACATCTTTCAGTCGCTTGATTCAGAGTGAAACCTCAGATGTGCCAGAGGGACGCCAAGAGGTCAGGATGAAACGGCTTACTGGATTTGACGGCTTACTTGTATCAGCGACCCAAACAACAGCGCTACCGTCTTCTTTTCTTTGCTGCTTCGTTCGCATCAAGCCTTCGCGGTGAGAAGGCAGAAAAACACTTCTGCCTTGAGATTCTGGCCATACGGCAGGGGCATAGAGGCCTACGCCATCAAACCCACTCGACTGGGAATGCATATATCAGGAGACAAGTCTGTCGTGGCTTCAGCCACAATCCATCGCAGGAGTCCTTGCTCAAACAAAATGCAGCCTAAAATGTTCGAGGATACCTTCGTGGCTTGTGCCTACGGAGCAAGAGAGCACCACCGACATTGTCTTATCAGTCTACTGATAGGTTGGAGGTGACTAAAATCTAGAGACGGCACGAGTGTTGGAATCATCTTTCCGGCCGCACCTGGCGGCGTGAGATCAAACACGGGAAGTGCAATGCGTAGTCTCTTACATGATTAGCACGGGCGCCCACAGCTATACTACCAGATCGTGTCCTGAATGAAAAAGATGCTACGCATGGCAAGGGGAAATACCCCAGCTCATTGCTGCTAAGCTTATGCATGAACCTGTGAGTCATTATCCGTACAAATGGGATAAGAATGGCGGAAAATCCTCGACAAGGTCTCTGGGCCATTCGCCGTTTGGCGCACGTATGCACCTAGAAGTCGTCGCACTGGAATTGTCACAAAGACTGTCAAACGTTGGCACATTAAGCTTATAGGGACCGGGCATGTTCGCCTGCATGACGCTTGTCAAGACTAATGACCTCCTTGCGACTCATTCTACCAGGATTTCAACTGCTTTGGCTGGTAAGAGCCAACCGTGCTCACAACTTTCGATCACTACTCTCCGTAATTCCAAATGATTCAATCGCGCACGGACTCTGTGGGCGGAACCGGCATGCGCGAAACATATGCCCCTGTGGGGTACATCCTCGCAAAGCCAGGCGGCCGCCATTTCTAATATAAATATGCTAAAGTAGACAAGGAACGGGCTCTAAAACTGACAGTCCTAATTTACATTTGCGCTTCCAGTAGTACACATAGATCACGTCCTTTTATTGAAACAAAGTTACGGTCGGCTAACACTTTCTAGTCGCTTGAGGCCGGCATACTTGCGCGAAGTGGTTGCAGATCTAGGTAGACCTTCTGTAGCGCGGACGCGCTCTCAGTCCCGTCCCTCAATCTCCACGAGTCTTCCATTTAAAGAAGAGTCTAGACTCGGGAAATTCTACTGTTACTCGAAAACGTGCAATTCTAGATGAGGTCGCTGAAATGTCACTGAAGTACGCCCTGGGATACGCTTTTTACGTTGGGACTCTGATTCTAGCAAAACCTCTAAACATTTCTCTAGCTTATAAAACACCAGCTATCTTACGTCTTCCTCTACCATCGGATCTCCTCGCATTGAATGTGGACACGAATTCTGCCTCGAATGACTCTACTACATCACTCAACGTGACAAGCGGTCAGCCCTTACGTATCCAATGCGATGGCGCTTCTTATGGCTTCGATCTGGACATTTTTGATTGCGAACAAGCGAAGGCATATGTCCCTCCCAACGCTGACCAAGTTCAATGGGCCGACCGTCACACGGGCAGCCAGGAACAGATTTTTCCTTTGCCCTACAGAGCCATGGGCGATAAAGCGTTATGCTATGTCCAGCCGGTCCTCATCGGTGGTGCTACCTCTGCAAAGGCAACCACCAACCAAGTCCGCAATGCTGCCGCTGCGGTTCGACATGAATGCTTTTCCGGTGGTAAGTTGCAGGGTGGGATTGCTACGAACATAGGTAGGTAGAAGACTCTGTTGCTGAAAGATCACGATGGTATCGTTGGCCTTGGCCGCTACGACTTATGAAGCCTACCAATGCTGACTTTCTGCCTCACTCAGGTGGCGACAATAACCTTGCAGTAATCATGAGCGCATACCAACCACCATCAGCGATCCAGTGCAGCGGAAAGTTCCGGGCCATGAGCTCATGCCAAGATGTTTTAGAAGGCATGCCAGTCACTACCGAGAAGGAAGCCTTCGGTCCCTCAACTGATCCGACGACGCAAGTCTTGCTACCTCAAGCCGTTGAGTCAGGTGAGATGATCAACGGACCACCATGTGTTTTGGTCTTTTTTTCTGATATATCCTCAAATAGATGACACTTTCTGTCTGCTGAGGATAGTCGACAACTCCACCACGTCGGACACGGCCGCGTGGTATGAATTTTGGGAAGCGACCACGGCGATTTGGTCCGCCTGCGTCAGGCACGGGCAGGGCGGGAGTCTCGGGGGCCTCGGCGAGTTCCTCACGGTCACGAGTGGTGGAATATGTGGCTAATGCTTTCGGATCTGTAGGGGACCACGGCCAGCTTTCCTTGACAATGATCGCTTTCGATTCCTTGTCTATGAAAAAAGCGCCGAAAACCCTACATCGTGTACAGTATTTTGGGCAAGGGCCAAGGGAAAAGGCTAGGCTTAAAGTAACGGGATAGCTGGCCGGCTAACATTGTAGGATGGAGATCGAAGGTTGTGCTTCTTTCTACCATACGCGTTAATCGACGAGAACCATGGGGTGGAGGGATGACGGGAGGATTATCTGGAGTCTTGAGGCGCACTTGGCCGAGGAGGATACAGGAATGAATGGAGTATATACAGGGATGTCGGATCGGCTGGCCGAGCAATGAATTGAATGTTTGCAGAAGTATCGGAAGAATGAGCACCCAGGGTCACGTTCTACGCATACTCGATCGTAGCGCTGTAGCCAGTCCCCGACCACTGATATACCCACCCCGTCAGCCACACCCTCCCTATTCACAGATCAATCAACGAACGTACGGAGGCCGGCACCAACAGTCCCCGCACACGCCAACCCAAGATCTCGCATACCGCCCGCCCGAAGGGGTTTACCGGGACAATGAATGCGCTCGGAAGTGTTCCGGCACGCACCCAGCTTTAGCCTACAGCCCCTACCAAAGCCCGATAGCAGTCAATCCATACGCTCCCGGGAAACGGTCCGAGAGTCCTCGGCTGTGGGGTCGCCGTCCGGGAGTAGGTAGGTGGGGTAGGGCTACGTACTGCTAGCGCTGGGCTGGACTGTGGGTGTCGACGGACGTACTGGGCAAGGAAGCGATCGATCACTCATTCAATTCCCCCCCCCCCCCCTCCTAATCTCCGCCTCCTCCTCCTTCTCCACGCGAACAAACAAACAAACCCTCACTCCACGCCGAATCATTCGCCCCTTTCCCTTCCCTCCTCTTCCCTTTCCCTTCTGTATACAGCCTCCATTCTTCCATTCCACCCCCCGCCGCGCTGTAGTCGCGCATTTGGGCCCCGCGCCGCGAGCTCAGTGCTCGATTGCGGCCCGGTGGCATGGGTGGAAGGAACCCAGTAGTTACAGCCGGGGGCTCAAGCAGGGATGCTGGACGTATTCACACTAGAGCCTCCTTCGAGTCCTGGCTCGACTTTCAAAGGGTTCCGGCTTCCTTGCGGATGCTCTTTTGGGAGGTGGGATTGGCTACTCCCCGATGCCAACGCGTGTATGTACTCTACAGCGTGCGGTTTGGTACGAGGGTTGCGGGCACCGAGTGATAAAGGAAGACCTGTTGCGCCTGAGGAGGAGGACGGAAGAGGAGGGGGTGAGAGGGGAGAGGGGGAGGTGGATGAGAAGCCGGGATCAGATCATAGAATCTTTGTCAGTGTGTGTTGGTCTATAGACGCCTACTCCTACCCTGCTCAAATCACGGATGCTAAGTCGAGAACGCCATGATCCCGCTTTTTTGGAAATATCAAGAAATGATTTGAAGCACAACGCCCGCCAAGCCCGCCAGTACCACAAAATCCTACCCAAATGCCGACATTCGATACCGTTTGTCATGAACGAAAACCAGAGTCGTCAAAGTTTCTTCCACGGCCATGGTTTCCGTGATCGTCTGACAACGCGTCAGGTCCCGCTTCTGTATCGAAATTCCCGTTGCCTATTTCTGGAAAGTCATAGCCACCGAAGTCTCCAGCGATAGTGGGACCAGTGCCGCCAAAACCCATCATATCGATTTCGGTCCAGTCAGTGCCCACAGCGTTCTGATCTGGAAATGGGGTGAGATCACCGGCTGACACGTTGTCCATGTTCTTTCGGCTAAATGGTCCAAAAGGTGGAAACATCATGTCCTTGGTTGAGGACTCGCGTGACACTGCAGAGGAAGTAGAATTGGTCAAAGAATGCGTGATGCCAAGGTTGAAGTCAGGTGGCCTGTTCAGGACCGGATACTCTCCAGACAAAAAAGAGTCATTGGTGGAGAAGTCGAACATTTGGGTAGTATTCGGGTTCAATTCGTGGAATGTCTGCACCACCTGCTTCAGCTGCTTCTTCGCGGCCTTGGTTCTTTTGGCCTGGCGTAGATTCCCATGCTTGGACAAGACAAGCAATTTCGAGGCCAAGCTCGACAGTTCTTCGTTTTTGGCCGAAACGAGCGAGGCTTCAGGTTCCTGATTGAGTCGAGAGCGACTTTGGAAGTACGCAAGTGCTCTGCCACAAGCGTCCAAGCCCAGCACGAGAACTTCCGCAATAGTACAAGGACATAGGTCCATAGTCATTCGGCCACTGTCCTGCGGTCTTTCTAATGCAGCGCTGACTTCCAGAAGTGCTCTCGCCGACCGAGACATATCCTCTATCAGGCTGTCGGTCACGGGAATGCTCCCCCGGAGGTCGGGAGATCGGGGAAAAAGAAAGTGAACGATCATAGTGTGATACGTGGATAGGACAATGCTTTGAGAGATTTCGCATCCTGCATGAGGTTCAAACAGCTCCAGTGCGCCAACTAGCACATGGCGAACCTTCGAGCACAGAGTCGAGACGTCTTCGGGAGTATTCTGAAGTGGGCTAGACAAGCGCTGCAGCTGGCGCAGTGTTCTTGTATGCCACGATGCCCGTTTCGAGGGTTCCGCCAGGATCTGTTTTCGAGGGTAAAGAGCATAGATGTGAGCGGTCGTTGACGCCACGTGACTGATTGGCCACAGATCGCGGATGGTTTTAGCCTGGCATGGCAGCGTTGATATATTATCTGATGCCGAGTCAAGCGCGAAAACCTTTGAAAATGTCTCGTCTATCGGCGGGAAAGAAGTCGATGAACTGGACGGCAGTAGCTCCATTATCGGAGCATCCATTTGCATGAAAGCCCAAAGTATGACGGAGAAAGTGATCCACCGAATACCCCGGGCTAACTCAGCTTCGACCTCGCCAATGTCCAATCCATTGATCTGGTTCAGTCGAATTGTGGGTGCCTGGAGGCTGGTGACAAGGTTGCTGGCATGAAGGAAATAACATATGGCTCGCCTAGCTCTGGCAGCGCAGAGTTCATACCAGCCAAGCAATGTCAACGCTTGCACGGTAACGAGGTCGACGTTGGTACCGGATATATCGAAGAATTTTGAGTTGGCCCATCTGAAAATCTCAATTCCTTTGTCACGTGCTTCCGAGTCATTCTCAGCGAATTTGACGTCAGCCAGAATGACAGCGAGGAGTATATTATCGCGGGCTCCGTCCCGGCAGCTTCGTAGTAACAGTGTCTTGGAGACGATGACGGCAAGAGGGTGATGTGAGAACCAGACGTCAACCATTTGCAGGGTCTGGTGGTCATTATAGTCAAGAAGTGGGTTTCGGGCTTCGGTTGGTTGATCGAACATGTTCTGGGTATCATCCAAGGCTAGGCATCTCTTGAAGAGCCGGGAACCGTCATCATCATCAACAACCTGGTCGCAGCCCAAGTCGCCAAATTGTAGAGCCACCATCTCCACAAAGTCTTTTATCAGGACACGCAAGGGCTCTTCGTATGTGATTGCTGGACGAGGCAATGTATCGCGGCTATGGATGGAGGTCTGGGTCTCGGAGTTCTTGCGGCTAAGGGCGGAAATGGCGTTGGGGCAGGTCTCGATCCTCTCCGACCCTTGAGCATCAAAGAGACGACTGAAGATCTGCTGAAGGTCGGCAGCAATGGTATGTTTCGATGCCGTGTCTTCCTCTTGAGTACACGAGCGTTCTCTCGGTCTGAAAGCCTGGTATGTCTGACGAGAGACTTGTGTGTTGAAATTGTTGAGGCTAGGATCAAGGATAGGAGAGGGTGTTGGAGGATTCTTCATAGTAGGGACCGAGTTTGCGCTGTCGACCCTTTGGCTTGTTCCTCGTTTTGCAGTCTTCGAGGTCACGCCTCTGGGTCGACCTTTGGAGCCTTCCCGGCCATAAACACAGTCGATATTCCTCTCTCGGCATGCGCTACAGATATTCTGGCCAGAGCACCGAATCTTTCTCGACCGGCAGAAGCCGCAACTCCTTCGCATTGAGGGCTGTTGCGTAGGTTCTGTCTCGTTTTGTATGAAGGACATGTTGGTTGTGTATGAAGAGGCAAGAGACACTAGCTGCGTGAGGTGTTAATATTCGAAAAGTGACGTTCATTCTCGATGGACTATTAATGTGATTCGGAGAAAGTGATTCCACATGTATGAAACACCATGATGTCAAAGGGATTTTCCAAGTATAGAGCTGGAGAGTAGATCAGATCTGAAGTAACGTTCACCCAGCGGCGTCACAGCAAAGGTGAACGCTTTCGATGCAACGCTAGGATCTCAATCTGTCGCCGGAGATATCTGTTTCAAGCATAGCCTGCTGTAGGATGAGATCAGGCAAGGATTCTCGGGTCAGCACGAAGCTTGTGGCAGCCCACTGGCGAGTCTACTGTAACCCGGTCTTCAAACACGGATGAGTAAGATCTGGATTGCTTGGCGAATAGGCTGGGGGAGGATTTAGCCGATACACTGGAAATATGGTGTGGCCGGACAAGAGAGCAGCCCCAGGGCGCCCCACACGCCCCTCATGCGCCTGCGGTCATGTCCGCTGCCTGAGACGAGATATTCATTGGGGTTCGACACCACTCCAGTCAGGGGTAAAGACTGACTACTCAAACGCGCCAGTTGGACGGGTGCTTCAATCTCGACAGCTGCGCAGGGTATATCGCGGAAAGCAGTCTTCGACCCTGCACACTGCGTTGGTCCAGACAGATTTGTAGCCTGACTCGTACCCCATTCAATGGGAGGGTGATGAAAGGCCAAGTCCAACGACAGATGCCTCTTCATCATCATGCGCAAGGGAGGCAGGGCGGAGAGCATTGTTTGAAAGGATTATTGGCTGTAGGATTTGGGGGAGAAGTTCTGGCGAGAGGGTGAGGGTGTGCAGCGAGGGGAAATAGGATGGATGGGATGTGGGTAGATAGGTGGGATTTGTAGGTAGCGAGTTTAAGTAGGATTGACGATCTGACCTTATCGGAAAAGCGTTGCCGACATTTCTTTTGTTGGATTTATTGCTGCTGATGGATGATCATATGCATCCGAGACGCGTCTTTTGGCGTAAGATTCTTACCGAGGTCGGCACACACGGCACATAAATGTTCCCGCACATGCCATGAAACAGCTCCAGCTGTCGAAGAATGGTCCGCCTGAAGGGTTGCCTAAGGTACTTACCTGACGGGCGTGCTTGCAGATGCCACACCGTGCAGTACTGAGGCGGTAGTACTGAGGCGGTAGTACTACCTTACCCTCCGAACTTAGGGTTAGGGCTGGTGTTAGCGCTGTGCAGGACTCTTGTTGCCCACCTACAGTGTACAACGTGCGGGTACGAATGTGGATAATGATTCGTTCAAGCGCGCCAATCGGGTCTTCTTGTAGTCTCAGTATATGAATGTCTACACGAGGGGTATGCCGTAACGAGCTCGCGATACGATTGGCATCCGAAGCTTTGGCATGGATAGTGGTGGGGTCAAAGCATTTCAAAACACGGCCATTGCACAGGACATACTGCCTCGCGAATCGTCTGAGTGTTTGAATCATTACGACGCCGCAGATGAAGGAAGTGTGAAGGAGGGTGGGAAGGGAGATGGCATTCTGAGTATTCATAACTTTTTGAAGGGTCACGACAAGAAGGTGAAGTAGGTGGGGGATTGATCATGATTCACATTATGACCTCGTGTACGGGCTCTAGCATAATTCAGCAGCAGCTTCATCACCCCCACCCGCTCGTGTACTCCGGCCCGCGCCCCATTGCTTCGCCGTACTCGTACTCGTACACCTTGAGGCAAAGCTGTCATCGCCTGTGTTACATCCTTGTACGCTACAACAGAGATGCATCATCAGATGCAGTGCAGGGGCCAACATCGGGCCAGCTCTTGTCATTCTCATCGCATGCTAATCATCCCATATCATGAGGCTGTACACGCAAACTGCGGAAAGCCAAACAGTCTATCTCTGTGTACTTCAAACATTGCCATTACCATTGCTTCTACAACGATCCAAGCCTTCGCAACCAATTAGCTAGACTCGCCTTCACCAAAGTCCTCCACGTCTAATCTTTCAGAACACAGTCGCCGACATCGTTGGCGTCGCCAACTCAGTATCCGATGCCTTCTTCTCATCCAACTTTTCGGGATCCACAGCCCTATTCAGATATTTCCCTGGGTAGAAAGCATTCAATACACCCACGGCGATGATGATCATTCTATGGTACGGCTCGTCAGCGATGACCGATCGTGCTGAGAGATGCTGAACTCACGCTCCCTCCAGAACCACAAAATCTGTCTGCTTCTTCATCAGCGAGCTGCCCCAACCGCCGGCCAGCTCAATGACGCGGTAAATGCATCGAATCTCGATGAACAGCCAGGAAGTTGCCAATGCAACAAGGAAGTACATCAAGCCCTTGTTGTGTCGGAAGATACCAGGGGCTCTCGCAGAAGCTTGTGGGCTTCGATAGACACGGAATGCGTATTCCGCGGAAAGAACAGCAAAGAGGGTCAAGCTAGCCACTTGGAACGCCAATCCTGCAAGCTGGAAGTTATCTCCGACGGTGAGACTGGTATCATTTTGTGCGGCAACGGATGCAAGTCCACCACCAGCGCCTTGAACTGAAGTCAGCGATGGTCTTTTGCTGCAAGGGACAGAGCAAGAACCGACCCTGGAGCGCAAGAGAAACAATGTCGCAGCTGATGAAAATGTAGGCGTAGTACTTGGGCGGCAGCCGAGATACTTCCGTACCGAAGAGCAGAACGCTATAGGTGAATCTATGAGCGCTCTCTAACGACTGGTCGATCTGGGGCAACTTACAGCCGTGACAAGCAAAGGTAGATCGCCGCAGAGAAGAAAGCCGGAGCAATCGTGAGGCAGCAGATCTGGATCAGGAACCTATGATCGGGTAAGCTCACTACAGACTTCCAAGACATGCGACCTTGACTGACCCGTTCAAATTGAAAGCATTCGGGTGCATCATCAATCTACCGATGTATCCCAACACCTCGCAGATACATCCCCACAACATCGCAGTCAACGTTCCCCAAGCGCGATAGTACCATCCCTGTACCCCATGTCCTACCAGTGCCATACTGAAAAGAACGAGCAATGTGATGTCTGGGCCGAGGGACGGCGAGTAGCCATAGAATGATTGCGAGACTGGGCAGTCGGCTGATATGTTGGTGCAGTCTTGCCCACGAGGCAGCAGTAGGGAAAGAGATAACATTGTTGCGGTCTTATTGAAGGGTGAAGAAAAAATCTGGAAGAAAGAAGGAAGTAGGACAATGTCTGAGATAGTCTAGAAGTTCTGAAGAAAAGGGAGTACTGCGCTTTTCGCTGCGTCAACACTGTACAGCTGCGGAGTCTCAGCGGAGCAAAGAGGCTCCGACTCACAGCAACATATGACGTTGTCTATGCAACATCCATTCAAAGACAGTTTCCTCTTCGCCTACTTATGTTCAAGCTTAAATTGCCCGTCCGAGAACGGATACATTATGGAACGGAGGATTTTGCGGTATGGACCTATCAGATCACGGACATTTGCGAAAACTGGGGTTGACTGGATCTCACGTCGGCATGATTATTCCTCCGACTTCTAATGGATCATCCATACGACTGTCGTGTGGCACGAAGCAGCTATACGTCGTATGAGACTTCGAACATGAGGTGCAGCAAAAGACTCCGTGACTACCACGGGGCTGTCGCTAATCGCAATCCCATTGCCTTCACATAACATGCACTTCCACACAACTTACCAAATTTCTTCTGCGATTCTCCATTGCAATTCCATCCGGTCTCGTGGAACAGTCTTCGGATCTCAAGACATTCAGTCTCATGTACGAAGCTGCAATGCACAACAGACCACCATTCTTCCCGCAAAACTCCATGCGCTCGCGCGACATGAGCGATTGTCAAGCATACCACCTCAGCAGCAGCCTACAACCACATCGAGTGACTCCAGCATCGAAGCGAGCAAGCAGAATGGCTTCAGTAACGAAACGAGAATCTCCCTCAGCACCAGCACAAAGCAAAGGCGCAACGTACAAGCCAGGTATATGGCTCTATTTGGCCTTTGCGACTCTAGGCCTGCTCACTGTCATGGTGGCATTGGACGCTACATCTCTCTCGGTAGCACTGCCAGTAAGTGCTTCTTGTGCATTACACCAGAAGTAGCAATGCTCACAACTTCACAGGTAATTTCTGCAAAGCTCAACGGCAGCGCACTCGAGGCTTTCTGGGCTGCAACGTCTTACTTACTCACTTCTACCGTCTTTCAACCAACCATTGCATCCTTCTCCAATGTCTTCGGGCGAAGATGGGTCGCAACGGCAGCAGTGACCATATTCCTACTCGGTCTTCTCCTTTGTGGACTTGCGCAGAACTTTACGCTCCTGATAGCCGGCAGAGCGGTTCAAGGAGTTGGCGGTGGTGGCATCGTTGTACTCACCCAGCTTATCATCTGCGATCTGATTCCATTGAGGTTGAGAGGGCAGTGGTTTGGCGTCATCAGTGGGATGTATGCCATTGGCTCAGTCTCGGGACCGCTGTCAGGAGGCGCGTTTTCGGAAAAGGTGACTTGGGTACGCATCCCCTTTTTGAAAACTGCTTTCGCTCTACTGACTAATAGCACAGCGTTGGATCTTTTGGATCAACCTACCCTTCACCGGCATAGCTCTAGTGATGATCCCACTCTTCATCAAGCTCCGCGCACCTCGCAATTCCTTTATCCAAAAGCTCGCCCAAATCGACTGGATGGGCTCTGTCATCTTCATCGCCTCCACGACCGGCTTCCTGATCCCGCTATCCTGGGGCGGCGTATCGTACCCATGGAATTCTTGGCGTACCTACGTCCCTCTCTCCGCGAGCGCTCTCGGCCTGGTCGTACTTTACATGTACGAAGAATACGTGGCTACGAATCCGATCATAAGGACTAGCATCTTCAAGAACCGCAACGCAGCGGCGGCGTACATCAGCGTCGTGTTACACGGCATGGTCGTCGCCGGCTCCCTCTACTATCTACCACTCTATTACGAAGCAGTCCAAGGCCTCTCACCCATCCTCTCAGGCGTAGCTCTCTTCCCTGAAACCTTCACCGTGGCCCCAGGCGCCTTCATAGTCGGCTCCCTGATCTCCCGCACCGGCCGCTACCGTTGGGCCGTCTGGTCCGGCTGGTCCATCACGACACTCGGCCTCGGCCTCCTCTACCTCCTCGACGTCCACACCACTACTGTCGAATGGATCTTTCTCAACCTAGTCGTCGGCGTCGGTCTCGGCTTCAACTACACCGCCCTTGGCGTGACGCTCCAGGCCGCCACCACCGAAGAAAACATGTCCTCCGCCGTCGCCATGTTCACATTCTCCCGCCTCATGGGCCAAGCCCTCGGCGTCGTCATCGGCGGCGTGACGTTCCAGGACCAGATGCGCACAAAACTGTTAGCGATACCTTCACTGGCGCCAATGGCGGACCAGTATGCGAATAATGGGGCGGCACTGGCGCTGCAGATCAAGACGATACACAATAGCGATGACCGAAACATGGTCATTCAAGTGTATGCGGATTCACTGAAGACAGTCTGGGCAGTCTTGTGCGGAGCGGCAGGATTGGCACTGCTGGCGAGTCTGATGATCACGGACCTAAGCCTGGATCGGCAATTCATCTCGCCGCAGCAGATGCACAGCGAGAGCGACGATGCCGCCCTGCTCGACAACACAGTCGAAGAAGGCGGCAGCGCAAGCAGTCGCACCGCAGCTCAAGAAGAGGACTACGGACTCCCGGAGACGTCGGGCGGAATGACCGCCCTACCCCACTGGTACGGCACCGACGATCCCACGCCGCCGCAGCAACAGCAGCAGCCGGAAATACCCCGAAAATCGTCCCGGCGCAACTCGCGCTGGCTCAGCGGCTTCACGCTCGCGGAACCGCGCGCCTCGCGCATGTCTGGCACTGTAGCAGCAGACGACAACGGCGACGACGAAGCCTCATCTCGCTTCTCACAAGCATCCGCCGGCCTCGCCAACGACGATGGTGAGAATATAGCATCATACCAATCATCACGCTATTCCCGCTCGACCCGACACGACAGCGCACGCCCGCCATCGCCGCCACCGGCGCATCATCACCCCCATCATGATCAGCGGGCTTCGATAACGGGGCTGCCGTCGATACCGGACCAGCCGTCGCTGGCCGAGATGATGGTAGATGATTTCGACGCGGATTCAGAGCTGCCGACGATCCTGCCGCATCAGAGGCAGTCGAGGGTTGTGGTGAGTGAGAGGCCTAGGTCTTGGGCGCCGGTTTATGGGATGGGGTAGGCCGTTCGTGGGGCGCGGAGCTGGCTGGGTCGGGGTATACTTTGTCATCAGGGGCGGGTCATCTTTGTAGCACCTTAGAGTCTGTACGTCAGATAATACGATCCGGCCTGTTTTTTTTGGCCCTTTTCGAACAGCAACTAAATTTGTATCCCTGACAATAACCTCAAGGCAAGGGAATAAACACTGGGTTGGAGAAGATTATACTGAGTTTGACTCCGGTGGTTTAGTGAATTATATAAGGCTCCTTCTACGCGTGTACCCCTATCTACGGAGGTCGGCACACAAAGTCTTGGGCAGCGCTAGTAGCAGCCCTAACCCTGCTATCGGAAGGCAGCCCTGTGGCTGGGAGCCTAGAACTATTTCCTGGGGTCGTATAGGTTCAACTTTAGGGGCTTCCATTGGGCTGGGCCCAGCGACCAGATATAATTCCAAGACACTTCTAAGCGTAAGGTATTGTCCAGGCAACACTTCAGACGGGGCATTATCCGAGACCTTGGCATAAGAGTCTTGGCGTCCAGGACGTTTTGTGACCGACCTTCATACTATACGCGATATGCTATAGCTAGCGGAGGAGGCTGGCAGAGACCTCCATGGCAATCGAATGACTGTGTACCTTCATTATGGTTCAGCACGCCTATGCGAAGATGGATCTCATCTTCATCGTCAGCCCAATGATCGGGCTTCCTCACCGCGGCGCGAGACGCACCGCCTGGGCGAAACAGCCAGCCGAATGGGACCTCACAATGGCAATGCAACTTTGAAGGTTGCTCATCTTGCAACAAGTATGTTTGTCGGTTATTCTCCATATCAGATCAGTCGCATCAGATCCAGCTGAAGTGGTTCGGATGGCGCCTAAGGTTCCTTCTCGCCGCGGTGGTCATCCACTGTGGGAAGTCTCCGCCGCGACACGGAGAGATTGCTATTCTGTGTCGTATGAGACCTGCCGATCCAGCAGCAGCCACATTGTCTCTAATGCTATAACTAGTGATGAACGCATAAATCAGGTTAAGAACGTGTTCAATTTGTCTGCTAAGAGCTACCTACTTCAAGTCTGAAAGCAGCACCCACTTGAAAAATATTGCCGCGACCATCACCTGCGGTCGCTATTCTACGTCAATGGAGTCCTTCTTCCACATCCAAGGCGCCCCCGCATCCCCTCTTGCACCCCTCATCCTCATCCACCCCATCTCCGGCTTTGCTCTACCCTACCTAACGCTCGGTCCCCTCTCCTCTCCCACCAACCACCAACATTCGCGCCCTGTCTACGGTTTCAGCTGCCCCTTCTACGAATCCAAATCATATCAACTACCAGCGTCCTTCGCCGCCCTCGCTCGCGATTATGTCGATCGTATAAGGAAAGAAATACCACACGGCCCATACATCCTCGGCGGCTGGTCGATGGGCGGCATGATAGCCATCAAAATGGCCGAGGTACTTGAAGAAGAGTGTGAAATGGTGTTGGGGGTGTTGTTGATTGATAGCACAAATCCCGAGGGATTCCCTCCTTTCGACGACCCACGCGAAAGAGACGAGATTGCGGAGTGGACATACAAGACTTATGCGGGTCGGACTGGGCTACCCGGTTTTGAGGAGATGGGCTGCGAAGAAGACGGCGTGCTGGACAGGGAGGTGGATAAGGATAGTGGGCTGGGAGATGAAGAAGATGATGATGATGAGATGGATATGATGGAATACCTGCCCAGGATGCGGAAGCATATCTACAACAGCTTGGACATGGTTACCCGGGCTGGGGAAGGAGAATATTTGCCCAAGGGAGTCAAGAGTCCTGTGACACTGGTGAAATGTACACAACTCGCCTCGCTACCAGAGACGGTGTCCGAGTACTGGAAGAAGGGTTATCACTTCCGCTTCCAGGACGAGCGAGCTGGATGGACGATGGACAAATTCCAGAGCATACCAATAGATGCGCAGCACGATGCTGTCTTCGATAGTCAGCACGTGGGCAGGGTCACCGACATCCTTAGGGGAGTGCTGGAAGAGATGGACTGATTTCCCATTCACGTCCTGCGGTAGATAGAACGCGTAGTAGGATATAGCCGGGCCGTTGCCCATCAATGAAAAGTCCGTCAATCCTGCTGGAATCACATCGATCCACCTCCTTTAATCCGCATGATCCCCACACGCCCTATCCGCCACCTCCGCCCAAGTCCCTACCCTTAGGTATACTAGGCTTTCGTTTCTGAGAACTCTAGCTCCGCAATATTCTCCTCGGTAGCTGTTGCTAGGCATCTATCATTGAGGTCCTGCAACTCTAATCTTGTGCTAGTTCCCCAGTCATCCCATGAGGCAGAATCTCACCCTAATCTTGTGCTAGCTCGTACTGGAGGAAGCAAAGACGTCTTTCGACGAGCCTTTTACATTGGCACCCTTTCAGCTGTCGAATAACTAGCAACCACATTTCTACACCGTTGCCCTCTCGCATTCGGGTACGCGGTAGCCACTCACGTCCCATGTCCTACATCCACAATCATTATCAACACTAACAAACCACACCCCCATGGTTCCCATACACCAGCCCCTTCGAGTCCACAGCAACACACGGCGTATCCGGTGTGAAAGCATTGGCGAAGACACAAACCCCATCCTGGTCCACCGCTCCTACATAGCCATTCCCAACCTCGTTCTTCCCGTCATTAATCTGAAACATAGCATCCGAGTACCCGTTTTCCGTATCCGCCATCCAGGCATTCAGCCCCTGCATCGCCACCCCGAAGACTCCCCACGTCAGATGATGCCCGCCGGCATCCTCGGCGTAGATGAGAATGCCCGTGCCGGTGTTGGATACGTATTGGTGACCGTCCGGGACCGGACCGTCGCCGTGGGATCCGATGTACATGTCGATGAAGGCGATGCTGGCATTCAGCGCCGTGGCGTACGAGGTGCTGGGTTGCAGCGACGGCTTGATGGCTCCGAAGAAGACGTAGGTGTAGGTGCCGGGGATGCAGTAGAGGTACTGGGATGCCGCTTGGCATGTCGCCGAGGCCGAGCTCGGGGGCTGTGCGTCTTTGGGGTCGACGTAGCTTGATGCGTACGACCTTTGATCAGCCGTGCATGGACGGACCCTCGAGACGGTGAATCGGACTCACTATCCTGCGACCACGGTCGGCGCGTTCGTGCACTTGAGGTGGTGACCGTTGCCTCTTTCGTGAAGGAGCGGAGACGCCAGACTCAGGACGGCGCTCTGGAGGAGGAAACAACGGGCGAGAAAGGCGTGGGAGGCCAACATCGTGTCAAACGAGCGTGTGGCGATTGTAAAGACTGTTGAGAAGAGGAAAAGAAAGGAAAAGGAAAAGAGATTGCTACGTACGACAAGGAATCGAAAGAAGGAGAAGGTTTTTCAATATGGGATGGGGAACGGCGCGCATTTTGTGTAGACGCCAAATCCCCCCTGTCGCCTCCCTCATTACTGCAAATCGAGTTTGAAACATTTAGCCGCTATCGCGTACCTTGCAGGTTGTCGCGGCCAGACATTCGGAACTGGGTAACAAAATCAACCGGTGCGCGTACGTATCTGGTTCGCTGGCAAAATATGCGCCGGCGTGGGTTGAGTGCGCCTTTACAAGCGCCGTCACGAGCACGATCGTTTCCCAAAGATGGGTATACATAATGCATTTCCCCCCACGCAAACGCGAAGAGCTGATGTAGTGGAATCTTGACGTTACTATGAAAACAGGCGAAGGAGAACGAAGTTGATGAACGAGTACCCGTCGTGCAATTGACTTGAGGTGACAGTTGGTATCGGAGAGGATAATCCAGAAAGGACTCCGAGAAGTGCCTGCACCTCCTTCTTCTTGCCCAATCCTACAATCTTCCGCCTACTTGTATTTCCTTTCCAAATCCATCCGTCCAAACCGCCCTTTTACATCTGCGCCATTACTCGCTACATTTCTACTTACCACCTAAGGCACCTGGCTTTCTGCACTTGACATACTCGTAGATCCCTGGAGGCCAGGAGTTGGGGAACAATCCACCTCTGGTAATCTCTGCGGCCGTTCCTAAGGGGTTTGATATTGGTGTGGCGTTCTCTTCGTCGCACGTTCTTCAGCACCGGGAATACTCAAGACATGGGAATTTTCCGTCTGTGAGATGGGGATGAGGGGGGAGGGTGTCGGCTCGCAGATAGCATTGTTATCGAGAGTTGCACCACGGTTATGGAAGCAGGATCATCGATCATTGCTTGGAGTGTTTCGCAGACGAACATGTTCTTTCTTTCCCAACTCTGTCTGATGCTCGCTCACTGGTACGTCTTACGCTCGTGAGTCCGTTTTTTGAATATGACTCTCAGTGAACCCTTAACAATAGTCCAATTAGTCGTTCGGAGAGATTATTCCCGGTGTTCATGAACGTGGAGGGAGAAAATTTGGAACACTTTCGAAACACGCGGATCGTTCTTTCCAACCTCGTTTACGATACATACGCTAGTATGTATTGATGTTAGCTTAATACAAATCGGCCTAGTATTCAAATTGAGCTCCCATCGCCCCGATCTTCCTTACAACCTCCGTCTCTCAACGCACCATTTCAACATCGTGCCCGCCACGCATCATCACATAGTCATCCCCTGAAAGTACGACAGTTGGGAAAACCATTCCCCCGAGTGTTGGTCTCACTGATGCCACTGAGCCTTCTCGACCCGCCTCAGCTACAGCAGGGCAGCGCCGCGAAGGATTGTACTATTGGCAGAAACCTTCCGTGATGAATGTTCGGGCTGGAATTCATGAGTACCCGGCTTACGCCGTGGGATTTGCAACAAGCCTACCAAAGCCGCTTCCTTCGCGAAACGATCCTCTCTCTGTCTTTCTGCCCCAGGATGCATCAGCCTCGATTAGCATCTACGCAACACTCGTACAGCTGTCGGAACGCGGTGCAGCATTTCAACGTTAGCGCGGCATAGCCTCAGATGGCCTTGTCACACTATGTCCAATTTGTCATACCCCACCGACTGTGTACGGACATTCGCGGTGACTCTCAATGAAGGGCCGGTAGGCCCCTATCCATGAGACATGTCAGCATCATTGTATGTTGGTACGCCTTACTAGATCATACCGTTTGTCTGGATTGAGAACCTACTGGCTAGAAATACTACATACACTTGAAGCCGCCCGTCCGACCCTGCGCGGACATTATGTCTAGGCTAGAGTGTGGAGGCATGCTAGCGTCACGTGGCTCTTGTAAGCTTCTGCCACACGGCCCATGCGAGGTACCCGCAGCGCAAGCGCTGGGCTGCATTAGATCGTCATTGTTGCATGTTCCCGGATGAGAGGTGAATGGCTTCAACTGTCCGTGGTGACATCTGGTTTGGCTGCGTCACCTCGGTGGGTTCCAACACATGGCTCTTGCAAGAAATGGTTGATGAGACTGTCAGCTCATCTTCCATGCAGCTAGTCACGGTGCAACCTATCAATTGGGACCTCACTATTGCATTATTCTCCGTTTGGTCTTGCACAATACATGTCCGGAGACTTTTCATCCACTGCATCAGCTAGTGGTCTTGCTGATATCCCGCCCCCATATCACACACACTATTCTTTGATCCTCATTGATGCCTTACATATGGAATCGAATTGTGAAGACAGGCAATAACCTCCGGGCCCATTTGCACGGGCGGAGAGTTCCTGGCTTCTCGAATGTCAAGCGTTTTTCAAAAGGGCCGTGTAACGACTGGGGAGGGCTTTGGTAACATCGTATGCGCTCCCTTGTTTCAAGTTCTGAGTCGATATCCGAATTGCCTCAATTATTTATCCGTAGCGCTATGCATATTCCGAGAAATGATACGTCATACTGTCTTTTCGTTTCATTCTGGTTTCCTTAAGAAGGTCAGGGTAAGCTTGTAGTGAATGACCAGAAACTTCTCTTCGCGACTGTCTCCAACAGCCATTCAATCACATATTATTTTGCAACCATTCAGGCAGGCTTTCCTCCGTAAAACTTGGAATCCAACAGATCTCGATTACTCCTAGCGTTGCCACTATATTCCACCTTACTTGCAATCAATATCTGCAATCACTCATCCTCGATCCAGCCCAGTACCAAATCATTTACTCAGACGCAATGGCAGCCATCAACCGCAGACTCACCGACCTTACGGAGTCAACCAGCTCATCTTCCAGATCCTCACTGCATTCACGCTCATCTTCGGAGTCTCTGGGCGCACCCTCCGATACTACGGCCCCTTCAGACCATGAAGATAATTGCGGCAGAGCTGACGACCCTACCGCCATTGTAGGCTTGGCATGTCGTCTGCCAGGAGCCCAAAGCTCAGGTAAGCTTTGGGAGAACATTCTCGAGCAAAAAGACCTTCAGAGCAAGATCCCCGCGGACAGATTCACTGTTGATCAGTTCTATCATCCAAAAGGCACCAATAAGGGCACGGTACGTCTCTCCTTACCTAATCTGCCGTATGTTGCTGAAACTTCATAGAGTAATGCGACTGCGGGATACTTTCTCGATCAGGATCTTAGTCTTTTTGACCCAGAGTTCTTCCGCATCTCTGGGAAGGAGGCAGAAGCCATGGACCCTCAACAGCGAATGCTGCTTGAGGTAGTATACGAGGCGTTGGAAGACGGTGAGTCCCCTAATGATTTTGATTCTCGATCCATCAGCTAATTGCATACAAAGCGGGTATTACGCTTGAAGACATCAAGGGCTCCCAGACATCTGTCTACTGCGGGAGCTTCACCAACGACTACCGCGAAATGCTGAACAAGGATTTGGGGTACTACCCGAAGTACATGGCAACTGGTGTTGGAAACTCCATCTTAGCCAATCGCATTTCATACTTCTATGACCTACATGGAGCAAGTGTGACCATCGACACAGCTTGCTCGTCTTCCCTAGTTTCTTTCCACATGGGCAATAGGTCCATCCAAGACGGAGACGCCGACATCTCAATCGTTGTCGGCTCTTCGCTCCACTTCGATCCCAACATGTTCGTCACGATGACGGATCTCGGGTTCCTCTCAACCGACGGCAGATGTCGAGCTTTCGACGCTAGCGGAAAAGGCTATGTTCGCGGTGAGGGTATCTGCGCCGTGGTTTTGAAACAAAAGTCACGCGCTGAGCTTCATGGCAACAAGATCCGATCCGTCATTCGTGGCTCAGATGTCAATCACGACGGTGCCAAGGATGGGATTACAATGCCAAACTCCAAAGCTCAAGAGAACCTCATCAGGAAGACCTACAAGAACGCTGGACTGAGTACCAATGATACTCAGTATTTTGAGGCTCACGGCACTGGTACTCAGGCTGGTGATCCCAGAGAGACACGTGCAATCGGTGCGGTGTTTGCTCCAAATCGCCCGGAGCATCTCCATGTGGGATCAGTCAAGACCAACATTGGGCACTTGGAAGGTGCGTCGGGCTTAGCGGGTATCATCAAAACAACGCTCGCGCTTGAAGAACACACGATTCCGCCAAACATGTTGTTCAACAATCCCAACCCTAACATCGACTTCGAAAACTGGAAGATCACCGTCCCAACGAAGGCACTGGACTGGAAGGCATCCCACGGTTTCCGACGAGCCAGCATCAACTCCTTCGGCTATGGCGGTACAAATTCTCATGTGATCCTTGAAGGCTACACTGCGCCTGCTGGAGAGCTTGAGGTACAACTCCCTCCAGGTTTGGCAGCGATGGTCGAAAAGAGACCTTTTTTGCTGCCATTGACCTCGCATACGGAGAAAGCTGGAAATCTGTTCAAGATCGGGCTCTCTCATTTCCTAGAAGATAAAACCGAACATTCCGCAGCAGCCCTGGCGCACAGTCTCAGTGATCATGGGCGCACCATGCACAAAGTTCGGTCCTTCCTCGTCGAGAAGGACCGCGAGGACACTGTTGCAGGCCTGAACGAGTCTTTGACTTGGACGAGATCTGATGAGTCCAAGGTCAGACTTGGCTTCGTATTCACGGGCCAGGGAGCACAGTCATTTGCGATGGGTCGACAGCTGATTGAGCAGTCTCCGTTCTTCCGCCAAACCTTGGAGAAATGCGACGACGTCCTTCAAAGTCTCCCAGACAGACCTGACTGGTCTTGCGTCACAGAGCTGCTCAAGACCAAGGAGACATCGCGAGTCACCCAAAGCGCCTTCTCCCAGCCATTGTGTACAGCAATTCAGATAGCGCTGGTCGACTTGTTGGCGGAGTGGGGCGTTAAACCCTCAACGACTGTGGGCCACTCTGCTGGGGAGATGGGCGCAGCCTATGCAGCTGGTATTCTATCATTCGACGACGCTATCATCGCTGGCTACTACCGAGGACTCACCCTTGGCATGGAGGTCGAAAATGCTATCGAAGTGCCTGGCTCTATGCTAGCGGTCCAGATGACTGAAACCGAAGCTATCGCAGAGCTTGAGTCTTACAAAGGGCGCATTGCGCTTGCTGCAGTCAACAGCCCCACCAGTCTCACTCTATCTGGTGACTTGCCCGCCATTTTGAAGCTCAAGGAGAGCCTTTCGAAGAGGAACGTCTTCGCGAGGCAACTTCAAGTCGACAAAGCCTACCATTCACACCACATCGCTCCATTCGGTCCCGTCCTTGAACAGCTTCTGAGCAAGATTCGACCTCGAACACCAAGATGTCAAATGTCGTCAAGTGTCACAGCTCGTAATGCCGAGCCTAGCAAGATGAAAGCCGCCTACTGGGTGGCTAATCTCACTGGGCAAGTGAGGTTTGCGGAGGCTTTGACGAACTTGCTCTTGAATGACAATGAAGAGCAAAATGTTGACATGCTTGTGGAAATCGGTCCTCATCCAGCTCTCAGAGGTCCCTCAAAGGAGGTCATGAAGTCACTGAAGCTCAACATCCCTTACATTGCTTCTTTGAACCGCGGCGTTCCAGACTTTGGTAGTCTGCTCTCATGTGTCGGTCAGCTCTTCGCTCTTGGATACCCAGTTGACCTGGCTGCTGCCAACAGCAACCTGTTTGTCAACCATGATGGGTCTATTCAAAAAGCTATCGCAGGTCCGAAAATTAAGCTGCCAAGTTATGCATGGGACCATGCCAAGTACTGGTCGGAGACCCGTGTCATCAAAAACAACCGGCTTCGCAAGGACCGACATGTCATTCTCGGCGTACCCGTCGCGGACTCCGTTCACAACCATCCACGATGGAGAACCTTTCTACGCCCAGCTGAGCTCCCCTGGCTCCCTCAACACATGATCGAAGGCAAAGTCATATTCCCCGCCGCGGGATACATCAGCATGGCTATCGAGGCTGCGACGCGCCTAGAGAAAGGCCCAAAAGCTATCAAAAGCGTCAGTTTGAAGGACGTTTCTTTCAAGTCTCCCCTCCCTGTACGAACCGACGACATGGGAACCGAAGTACTTCTCGAGATGCAGCCAATCTTGGCATCAGCCAAGCGGACTTCCGACACTTGGTACAGGTTCATCATTTCGTCTTACGATGAGAGCGACAGGTGCGACGAGCACTGTCATGGCCTTATCTCCGTTGAAGAAGGCGTGCCTTCGTCGATTGAGAGCACCGACCCACGTCCAACACTTGCACAACTTCAAAAATTGTCCAACAGAACCACGACGATGCAAAAGTACTATGACCATCTCAACTCAATGGGACTACAATATGGAGAAGACTTCAGGCTTCTCTCGGGTAATATTGAGTCAGGACCCGGCTTCGCCATGGCGCCAATCACCTTCCGTCCAGATCAAGTAAGCGCAGCACCAAGTGACCTATGCATCGTGCACCCCACTTTCTTAGACTCTTCCTTTCATGTCGTCTTTGCAGGCGCAGAAGCCGAAATAGGTCGGCCTCTCGGAGAGCCATTCGTACCAACGTTCATGAAGTCCATGAAGGTTTCCGGACTTTTCCAAGACATGATGCATTCAGATGACCTCCAGCGATTCTGGGTAAGCTCTAACACTAAGCTCCCTGGGCCTCGTGTGGCGACCAGCGACATTACAATCCAGTCCGATGACTGCAGCGAGCTCATGATCGAAATGCAAGGCGCAGAGTTCACAGCGTTGGGAGCAGATATGACAGGCGACTCTTTAGAGCGTACACTTTTCTTCCGCACAAAGTGGCAGCCAGCATTCTCGTGTCTTGGTGGGAACACGCAACCGCCCAAGCTTGGGAGCTTGGCGCAAGTCATGGACGTTTTTGCTCATCAGATTCCTGATTCAACAATCCTGCATTTTTCATCCAACGTGAACTCTGTTAAGGATGGCCTGAGCCACCTTGGTGGCCGCCAAGGCTCATGCCGTCGCTTCCATAGCCTCACGCCTTACTCGTTCTCGAGAGACCTGCCAGAAAGTTGGGACACGCTGGCAAAGGAGTGGCCGGGCCTCATTGAAGTCAACGAGCCCCAAGCTGGGCACTACGACGCCATCATCATCGACGAGTCTCCTCAAATAAATATCCTGCCTTTCCTCAAGCCCAATGGCTTCGTCATTAGCAATGGCGTGGAGTTTGACCACCATGATTTGGGGCTCCTCTTCCGAAGTGGCAATATCAGTATTTGGCAACACCGAGCAGAAGCTCCTGCCTCCCGCGAGCCTTTGTCTCTCATAATGCCGTCGGTGGTGTCTGAAAGCACAGATGCCATTGCTTCGACAATCGAGAAGAACTATGACGGCGAAGTGAACAGACTGTCTCTTCTCAGTCTTCTGGAATCGACCTCTACACTCGCAGACAGCGTGATAGTTCTCGCTAGTCTGGACAACGACCTGTTCTTCGACGACGTCAGTGACACCGCAGCACACTTTGAAGTTGTCCAGAAGCTACTTACAAGTGACAGTACCAACATGGTCTGGGTAACAACTGGTGCTACGATGGAGGCCAAGAGCCCTCAGCAAGCGATTATCCTTGGCCTCGCCAGGGTTGCACGCAGCGAAAACGAGAAGCTCAGACTTGTCACCCTGGACTTCACCAAGGGCTCTAATACTAGCAAAGTCCCAACCCGCGCTCTTGAACTCCTTGATCGGAACCTCACAGAGGACGAGTTCGCTCATCGAGATGGTACACTCATGATTCCAAGAGTCGAACGCGACGATTCTCGCAACTCTAAATTACCATTCAATGCTCGCGGCGAGGCAAAGCTAGAACGCTTTCAGCAGAGCCGGCCTCTCGCTCTCAAGATTGGCAAGGTCGGACTACTGGATTCTTTGGCCTTTGGCGACGATGAACAAATTCTGGATGAAGATTTGGCGCACGACGAAATAGAGATCGAAGTGAAAGCCTCAGCTATCAATTTTCGCGACATCGCAGCTTCTATGGGAATCATCGACGACTACAAGCTAGGAGATGAGTGTGCAGGCGTTGTTCGACGAGTTGGTTACAGCGTGGGCGCAGCCGACTTCAAGAATGGCGATCGAGTAGTTGCATGGCGCCCTGGGCAAGGGGCACATCGTTCAATCGTTCGCAACCCTGCAGTCTACTGCCAGAAGCTGACAGACATGCCTTTTGGGATAGCAACATCTTTTCCTCTCGTCTTGACCACGGCCTATTACGCACTTCAGGATGTCGCGAGATTACAGCCCGGAGAGACTGTTCTGATCCATTCGGCTGCTGGAGGTGTTGGCCAAATGGCGGTTCAAGTCGCTCGTATGCTGGGGGCAAACGTTATCGCCACATGTGGCTCCCAAGAAAAGCGCGACTTCCTCAAAAGACATTTCGGTCTTGACGACAACCATATCCTATCTTCTCGGGACACCTCGTTCGTGGAAGGAGTCTTCAGCTTGACAAATGGTAGTGGTGTTGACGTAGCACTCAACAGTCTTGCTGGGGACCTCCTACATGCCACCTGGAGCTGCATTGCACGCTTCGGCCGTTTCCTCGAAATTGGAAAAAGAGACATCCATGAGAACGCCAAGATTGACATGGACCCGTTCCGGAAGAATATATCATTTGCGTCTGTTGACATGATCACTGTCTTCGAGCACAACAGACCTCTGGGAGCCCGTGTCTTCAAAGATTGCTGCAATCTCATTCAGGCAGGCACCATCAAGATTCCCGAGACAGTTGTTGAGCTTCCCTACGCTGACGCACAGAAAGGATTCAGAATGCTGCAAATGGGTAAGCATTTGGGTAAGGTCGTTCTTATCGCTCGAGAGTCTGAGACGGTTCCGGTCCTCCCAACTGTCTATCGAAATACAGCACTTTTCAAGCCAGAAAAAATCTACCTCTTAGTGGGTGGCCTTGGTGGCTTGGGCCGTACACTGGCCGAATGGATGGTCCGGAAAGGTGCTCGCCAACTGGCTTTCATGTCAAGATCGGGAGCCAGTCGACTTGAGGCAGCAGCAACACTGAGATGGCTTGAGGCTCGTGATATCAATGTCTCAATCTATTGCGCCGATGTCACCGACTATGAAGCTGTCAAATCATGCATCGAGGAGCTCGGGTCCCGTCTTGGCGGAGTATTCCAGGCCGCTATGGTCCTACAGGATGCCCCGTTGAACAAGATGACGCACCAGCAGTGGCAGACTTCAATCCGGCCAAAGGTACGAGGTACCTACAACCTGCACAAGGCCACTTTGGGGACTCCGCTGGATTTCTTCGTTTGCTTCTCCTCGGCTTCTGCTATTGTTGGTGCAATGGCGCAGGCGAACTACTCCGCTGCCAACACTTACCTGGACGCCTTAATGAGCCATCGCCGTGGCCTAGGTCTTCAGGGTACGACAATGAATTGCGGTATGATTGTTGGTGTTGGTGCTGTCGCTGAAGATGTTGCTCTTGAACGAATAATGAAGCGCATTGGCTATGATGCTGTCAATGAAGAAGAGCTGCTCTACCAAGTCGAGGAGGCTGTCGTCGCCCAGAAGGATCACTTCCTCTCAACTCTAGGGATCGATGAGCATCAGACGATCACAGGTATCAACTTGACACGCAAAGATCTCTACTGGGCCTCGAAGCCACTCCTCCGCAATCTCTACGCTAATCTCGACATCGATGGCGATGCAGCCAAAGCTTCAGTCGGGAAGCCCCTCATGGGCAGTCTACGGGACGCTGCCGATACGGACAAACGTATCTCGATTTTGACTACTGCTTTCATCGAGAAAGTTTCTGCCGTCCTTGGTGTTGCTACAGATATCGTTCAGCCTGGTAACCCACTGTCAGCCTATGGCCTGGACTCGATCGTTGCTATTGAGTTCCGCAAGTGGTTCACGAAGGCCATCAACGTCGATGTCCAGACCTTCGACGTTCTCGGCTCCAAGTCCATCACGGATTTGGTCACCAAGGCGGCAAGTCTGATCAAATTTGATGCCGAGAGCGAGGACGATAAGACCGGGACGTCGGCTGTTGGAGCTGCTGAAAAGGCGAGCGTTGACAAGACTGAGCAAGCCCCAGCTACTGCCACTTCTGCAGAGTTCTCACAGATTGAGAGACCCGAAAAAGTGCCCATGTCCACCTTCCAACGCAGGATGTGGTTCCAACACAACATGCTCGAAGACAAGTCATCACTCAATGTACCAGTGATGTGCCATGTGCGAGGCAAGCTCGACGTTTCAGCTCTAGAATTAGCTGTGGGAGAAATGGTGAAGCGAAACGAAAGTCTTCGCATGTCATTTTCTGAAGGCGACGACTTCTCCGAACAGAAGCCAATCCCTGGCTTCGACTTGCACCTAATTCGCAAAGATCTTTCCGCAGACTCTGGAAACGACAGCAAATCTTTGAACAAGTTCGTTGCTGAGCTCAGGGATCAGGCGCTGGATATCGAGAATGGCGAGGTTTTGCGCATGGCGATGGCCAAGATCGAAGAAGGACACTATGTCCTTGTTATGATCTACCACCACATCTCCATCGATCGTGGAAGCTCCAAGTCCATGTTCCAGCAAGTGACCTCTCTGTACGAGGCCGCTCGCAACGAGAGGGCGCTTGCAACCGTATCGTCACCACGGGTTTCTTATATCGACTTCACACTCTGGCACGAAGCTCGCTTGGCGTCACCAGAGCTCCAGCTCAGCATAGACTTTTGGAGGAACAAGTTGCGCAATGCGCCAGAGGTCAGTAGGTTGCTGCCGTTCGCGAAGGCATCACGTCCTGAGCACATGGACACCGCGCGAGCAGTGCTCAACATGACTCTTGAGACGCCTATGCTCAATCGGATGAAGCGGATTTGCGCTCAGACCGGCACAACGCCCTTCCAATACCTGCTGGCAGCCTTCAGATCTTTCCACTACCGATACACCGAGGAAGAAGATTTGACGGTCCTCATGGTAGATGGCCGTCGACCTCATCCTGATCTGGAAGAAACCATTGGCTTCTTCGTCAACTTGATTCCAATCCGGTTTACCAAAGGATGCGAGGTAAGCTTCGACCGTCTCCTCGAGTACACCAAGTCTTCTGCGCTCGAGGCGACCCAACACAGCACAGTCTCCTTTGATGCCATCGTGGACGCAGTCAACGTTGAGAAGACTCCGAGCCATTTCCCACTGGGCCAGCTTGCAATCAATTATCAGTCACACGGTAAGATGCCAAAGTTCAAGACCCAGGACTTTGAGATCAGCCAGATCGAAGGCGAAGATATACCCACCGCATGTGAAATGCAGCTGGAGGCGCTTGATGATCCCGACAAAGGGTTGGACCTCCGCCTAGAGTATTCATCAACCCTCTATGGTGCTAACGAGATGGACCTGTTCTTCGATAATTTCTTGCACTATCTCACCAACGTGATCAAGGATCATCGTCAACCAATCTCCGAGGTTGCAATGTGCGGTCCCAAAGAAATTGAACATCTCCAAAACAGTTCCTGGAACACCGGCTTCACTGAGAATACCTGGGACAATACCTCTGTGGTTGGCAAGATCGCCGAAATCGCCAAGAGTGCTCCCGAAGCTACTGCTATCGAGGATTCCGAAGGCCAGTCTGTGTCTTACGAGAACCTCGTTAGCCAAGCACAGAAAATTGCGGCCTCTATTCAACAGTCTAGCGCATCGCCTGGTAGTTTCGTCGGTATCTTGTCGAGACCCGGCATCGAGTCTATTTCAGCAATGCTAGGTACACTGATTGCTGGCTGCGGGTACATACCGATGGATCCAGAGTTTGCAATGGACCGGTTGACATTCATGGCATCGGACGCTTCAGCAAAGGCCATACTTGTTGGTACGGGCCTGGACAAAGTGGGTCTCACCATAGCCAAAAACATCGACTTCGAACCTCACCTCATTCCCATCTCGGCTGCAAACTCATACAATGAGCCACTGCGCCCTGTTGAGGGGTCTTCTGAAGACCCTTTTTACATTATGTACACTTCGGTAAGTATCTCATTTTCCGGTCGCAGGTGGCTCAGCTGACAGACCTACTTCCAGGGGAGTACAGGGACACCCAAAGGCGTTGCTCTGACTCGCTCAAACACGCAGCAGATGCTTAGCAGTCTGCATTATGACTTTGGGTTCAACCCTGGGGACAAGTTCCTCCATCAGTCTTCCATCTGCTTCGACCTCTCAATCGTACAGATTTTCTCTGCCCTGACCAGTGGTGCCACTGTCTGCGTTGCAAGTCCAGAAGTTCGGAAAGATCCTTTGCTCCTGGCTAAATTCATGCGCGATGCAGAGGTCAGTGTCACCTATAATACGCCAACCCAGTTTGCCCTGCTCCTAGAAAGCGCATCCGAAGACCTTCGCCAATGCATCAATTACCGCGTCGCATTCTTCGCGGGCGAGACCTTACCTGTCCGCTTGGCGAAAGCGTTCTACGACCTTAACACACCTGCCACTGCCTACAATACTTGGAGCCCAAGCGAGTTGGTCGTTCAGACTGCTATCCACAAAGTCGAGTACCCGGCAGATGACACTACCAACATTCCCATCGGTTTCCCAATGGCGAACTGCCGTCATTATATCCTAGACTCCAAGATGAATCCCCTTCCAACAAGTATGATAGGCGAGATCTGTGTTGGTGGAGCTCAAGTCGGCGCTGGATATCTAAACCGACCTGATGCCAATGCGCATTCCTTCGTTGAAAATCCTCTCCGCTCTAAAGACGATGCAGTGAGGGGCTGGAACAGATTCTTCCGCACCGGTGATAAAGGCCGCTTCCTGCCAAATGGAGAGCTGGAGTTCCATGGCCGCATCGCTGGTGATCGCCAAATCAAGCTACGCGGTTTCCGCATTGACCTTGGTGAAATCGAACACCGGATTCACCGAGAATCTTCGCACATCGGCAAACGCAGACTTGTAGATCTATCAGTTCTTGCGCGACCGGGGACTGAGGGCTCGAGTTTGACTGATGAGCGCCAAATAGTTGCCTTTTTAGTCTACAACCAGTTCATGGAAGCCTCTGAGAAGCAAGATCTGGTCTCTATGCTACATGAGAAACTTGCCAATCATCTGAACTACTACATGTTACCCAGCGGCTACCAATTCCTGAACAGCCTCCCAGTTACCATTGGTGGCAAGGTGGACCGCAAAGCCCTCCTCGCAGCGGAAATGCAACTCGTCTATCCCTCCTCCAGCTCAGCAATATCACCAATCGAAGATGCCGAACAAGACGAAGTCTTAAAAAAGGTTACCCAACTATTCAAAGATGTTCTCAAGCTTCCCAAAGATCGCCAGATCGTACCAACTGACAACTTCTTCGAGCTTGGAGGCCAGAGTATTCTGTTGTTGAGGGCGCATTCGAAGATCAAGCGCACTTTCCATGTGGCGCCTGCGCTGAGAGAGTTGTTCACTGCTCCGACGCCGTTGGAGATGGCGGAGAAGATCAGGGGAGCGATTGCTGCGCAGGGATGAGATTGCGGCTTGGATAGCGACTGGCAACAAGATATCCCAAAATCGAAGAGGGCCCTGGGTTCAACCCTTGTAACGATGCCAATTTCTATTTTGAGGGGCATTCTTCCATTGTGTTTGCGACGCGGCGATGATCCAGCGCCGTACAGCATGATCTTGGTTATAGTATTCAAATTTGAATAAGCTGGATAGGTCTAATGCTTTTCATGCGGCTACCCATCTGCTGTTTGGCTCTTTGTTCAATGTGTATCTACCATTCGATAACTAAAAGATTTGATAAACACCCCTACTTTCTTCAATTTCATTTGAGAATTCTTCAGATTTTGCCACGATCGAAGACTCTCTATATCTCATCTATATATATCTACCATATATTGATACTCATTGACAGGTTAAGTTTGTTCTGTCGAGCGCACTCGGGTACTGGACTTGGCAATGGAAATCTACAGAAGACCTGAGAAGTCCCATCCATTTGGGTGATCCGTTTCTTTTTCTTTTTGATGAAAATTGAGATTTTTTTCCCCCTTCATGCGCTAATTTGCTCAATCTACTCTCTTGTCGTCGTCATGCCAAGGTATCCATCATGGCACTGGTGGCAGCCCTGATCCTAGAGCAAAGGGTACTATGCCTTGGAGTTGCGGTGACGTGTATGATGTCGAGTACAAAGGCCTTTACCATATCTGGCAGCATGGAGGGCAGTTATCGTGTACACGAAGCCCGAGAACGGGGACACAATGAGCAGATACCAAGGAACTCAAAAAAAAAATTCCAAGCACAAAGACCATGAGCACAATAGAGTGCTTGAAGAGTCATGCCAAGGGTATGGCTCATAACTCGAAAATGGATTATATATTTTTTCCATTTAATCCTCACTGCGGACACTCGACATTCATCCTCTTGCAACTTCTCTGTGACAGGACTCATCACGCCAAATACCACACCTTTTATATATCTCCATTTCCGCATCAAGGTATCTGCTAGTTCTACTACTTCCGAACTTGCACCTTTCGAGATCTACAAGATGCCGAGACTTGTCTCTGATCTCATCCGCCACGTGGTCGCGAAGTGGAAGAATCTAATGGGTGGTTCTGTTAGTACGAAATGGGAGACGGTGGTAGAGCAGGAGGCTGGAACTGGCTGGGACAACGACACTAATTCTGACTGGGAGGCATCGACTGAGCAGGAGATGGGCACAGGCTGGGACAGCCATGCTGCACCTCTACCTGACGAAGATGAGGTCTCTAGAGAAACCAACAGGCGCGACTCGGGCTACGCCTCGGTTGGAGATACACCCTCGAAACCATTGGGAGAGGACCATTTTAGCACAACCTCCCCGAGTGAAACGAAGTACTCGCAACTCCCATTCAAGACGAAACACTACTTCCTGACCTACATCCAGACAGTCCTGGAAGACACCTGCCTCAGATATGCGCGGGAGAACCTTAGCGAATTCCTCGGGAATCCAGAATGGAAGAAATTAAACCTTCTATTCCCATCCAAGGAGTACGCAGACGACAGACTGGCTCGCAGAGACTGGCTCGCCGAGGACGAAATCGAGCTGGAATCCTGGATGCAGATGTTCGCACGCTGCGTCCGCATGCCGAAGAGCAAGCGCATCTTCGAATCCGTCATGGACCTGCGGAACGCGGCCGTCCACCGCGGCGATCGCGAAGAGCTCGGCTTCACCGAACTGTCGTACGCCATGGCATTCCCAGCACTGCTTGGTGACAAGAAGGCAGAGTCGGACATCACCAACGCCTTCAGATTCGTCATGGATGATCCGACGCTGGACCAAGCCACCAAAGCGGCCGTCGAAGATGCGATGTTCACCCCGCAGCCATGCACGACTCACTACCAGGTCCTATCCCGCATCCAGACCCTCCTCGAACAAACCTGCTTCACCACCGCCGCCCGCACCATCCCGCACGTCCTGTCCGCAAACGGCTGGGCCATCCCCGAGCAAGTCGAGCTCCAGAACTGGCAGGCCGTCTTCCAACGCGCCGCCGTCCAGCACGCCGAACCCGCGTCCGACGTCTTCCCCCCGGGCGCCCTGCACCCGCGCTCCCTCGGCGACCTCCTCTGGCGCGCCCGCTTCGGCATCCGCATCGTCGCCGCGCACCGCCTCCCGCTCTCGACGGACGGCCTCGTCGTGCAGGTTCACGCCGCGATCGCCATCTGCGTCTTGCAGGACGATTGGCACCGGGCGCTCGAGATCGAGGTGCTGGCGGAGATGTTCGTCACGAAGCGGTCCCGGGCGCAGGTGCTGGAGAGGTTGGGGACGGTGTGGAGGAGTGGCGGAGTCAAGGATCCGTATGAGTGGAGGAGACGGGTGGAAATCGCGGGGTTTTTGGAGAGGGAGGAGGGGAGGGTGGTTCGGGAGGGGGAGGCGTTGGTCGTGAGCGATACGTTTGATGTGGGGTGGTGGGATTTGGAAGTCCCTTGGGCTGAGAGGATGTGGAGTCCGAGTATGCATGAGTGTTTGAAGAGGGTGGAGGTGTGGTAGGCGAGGGCTGGCTTTGGGTCAGGGCGATTTGCTGTTTTGGGACTTGGGACGAGGAGTGCGCTGAAGCCGGTCTTGGGCTATTGGGGAATCTTTGGTCAGCGACGTTTTGCAATGGTAATGTGGGAGCGCTGCTGAAAAAGAGATGCCTCGGGAAGCTTGTTTGGGGTTCACACGGCAGTGTTGGGCATCTTGCGCAAACAGGGTACATACAGCGAGGGAGACAGCAGAGGAAATGGGAGATGAGCGCGGTTTCTGCTTCTGTCACTATTTTTTCTTCGCAAAACGCATATACTAGTACGAGGATTATCATGGAAACCAAAGATTGACCGTTTTTACTTGGAGAATTCACTTCGCTTGATGTGTGAGATGCGGGAAGAGTGCTTCTAATCGCTAGACAAAACTGCCTGTGACTGCATCCCCAGATGAGGATCTTTGAAGAGCTTACAGGAATATCTTCTACCGAAGAAACCAGTGGAGGAGTTTCAAAAGTCTTGGCAAGGGTGTAGAAAAGGTCTGATGAATCAAATGCCTCGTGCAAGCCTAGTGAAGCGAATGCATAGAGATGGTTCATGTAGGCGTGGCTATTTCAGGACTCGATGCGCATGAGGCCTGGGTATCCTATCCTTCCATAGGCGCTGATTTTGGCCACCTTGTCCGAGCATGAGTGGAGAGACGATTTGGAAAACTCCAGCGAATGGGGTGCATTGAACGTTGCGAGACTTTAGAAGGGTGGGAGAGGCTCTACAGGTCTTAGAAAAATCAGTCTCTATGTTCTGTTCAAAGAATGTAGGTAATAGCCAAGAGAGGAGTACAAGCTGTATATGGTTCTAAAAGCCGTTCTCATTTGATGGATTTGATGGATACTAAGGTGCAAGATTTAAGCAGATAACTCCTGGTTACCTGAAAACCAAACCGATTCTTCAGGGAACTGTCTTGCTAGCAAGTCTGCTAAACCTTGTCCTCCGTGGAGTGAAATCAGAGCTGTCTACCGTCATCCGTACTGAAATTATGTGCACGGGGATGAAACTCCAAATGGGCTCCCTTCTCATCGGAAACCCATTCCGCGGGCCCCAATGTGGGCTCCAAAGCCTTCATAGCGGTCTCATATACATGAAGCGTGTCCTCGTTCTCTTTGCTGTGCATCGCAGACTCCATGTCACGCTGAGGGTTCGGTCTCGGGTCGTACATTCTCTCCACCATCCGACGTTTCCTCTCTCCCGGATAGTCATTGGCGACGGCCAAGACTAGAGCCTTGAAGCCGGTAAGGGATTTCATAAAATCGAATGTGAATTTTGGTATCCATCCAGAGAAGCCTGGATTGCAGTCAAGAAGGATCTTGCAACATTTTCGAGGAGTAGGGTGAGTCGGAGGTAGAAGGCCCCGTGAGGTGTCTACACAGTCCATGGACTGGGTCAACCATTCATTGAACTTGTTGATGCACGTGTTGCTCGGCTGTGGAACCCTAAGGACGAAATCAGTAAGGTCGAGCCGGATCTCTAGATTGAGAATAGGTTTGGAGAATTGTTGACTCGGGAAGATATCACGGGGTTTGAATATGTTGAACTCGAGTCTGCAAACTCCCTTCTGGTGAAGGATGTCAAGTGCTTCGTTGTGAAAAGCCTTGGAACTCTCTAGGAATCGGACCGACCCTGCCGCGATGAGGTCCAGATAGATCTGCTCACGGATTTCCGGTGGTACGAGAGTAAGCGTACCGAATGGTGCTGCCGTCAGAGTCTCTTGGGATTGCGATACAGGGGTCTCATTTCCTGCCTCCCCGAGAGAAGCAAGCTCGATCTTTGATGACAAGGCCATTCTCTCGGCCAGAGTGACTGTGTGTGTCTGATGAGAGGTCTTGACGTGGTGATTTGTTGTTGCTGGTTGCTGTGTAAGAAGGACTGCGAGGTACAATGACTTGAGGCGACTTCGCGAGTGAGGGACTTTGGGAGTGCTGAAGATTGATGAAATTAGGAAGAGAAGGTCTAGGAAAGGGCGGAGATGTGTCAAGAGCTTTGTGTCATGGTGTCCGAGTGTGATTGTTCAATGTGAAGACGATACCGTCTTTGCGGAGTAGAAACACAACGAGGGATATTGTCGAAAGGTACTGATATGATTTTCTCAGCAACTTTATAGTGAAACAGCGCGGAACAGATTTCAGTGTTGTTGTGCATATGACTGTGGTGGTGAAAGAAGTAGATTCCAGTGTGGCGGGGAGGTAAGGTAGGTATGAAGCCTCTGCCAAGGCACGCTACTGTAAGCACAGTCATGACTGACCTGTGCAACTTTTCATACGACGGCGTTGTGAGTTCGGTGTTGAGGAAGCCTGACATAGAAATCCACTTTACAAGCTTGAGGGACTAAATAAGTTACACGATAGATATTGGGTCCCAATACATGTACACCCCCTTTCGATACATGTACACAACCCTCATAGCCTGGGGTACAGCTTTCGAATACGGTGGCTGTTGGGCCTGCCGTACTCTCCCTATTTTTTGAAGGTAACTTTCCATATTAATATCAACATCTACGATACCCTTGAAAGGCTAGTCTAACTGTTATTCCAGCGTATCAAAAGAATGTGGAAGCGAGTGTATATAGAGGATCTTTTTTACGAGTGACGCACTCTATAGATAGTAAGATATACGGCCTTTGAAGCACTCCGAGACTGCGCCTAGCCTAATCAGCCTACTCAGAGAATATAGCACTCGGATATGAAGGGGGGTGTACATGTATTGGCACCCTAGATATTTTACTAGCCTCGAGAGGTAACGGTGCTAATCAAGTCCAGTCTCCCATGAAGAACCCCGCGTTTCTATCGTGGGTAGCTCTCTGCGAAATTCCATGCCGGTAATCGTTGGCTTGTTTATCTGTCTTACAACGTGGAATCTGCTCTCAAGCCATTCCGAGAGTCGGCCGAGCAGGTCCCTTGAGCCGTTCAGCGCTGTTGCCTAGAGTGGAAAGTGTGAGAAAAAAGAAGGGGGGAGACCTCGAGCGCAGCGGCGCTTCCAAGAGTGGAGGCTTGCATCGAATGAGATTATGACTCGTGCCGGATCTCCGAGAAGCTAGGGCTGGCACAGGCCCTGATTTTCTAAAAGGGTCACTGCAGGTAATGCATGATGACCGATTGGCTGCCGGTGCTTTTAATCATTGGCTTCCCTGTAAATGACAGATGATTTGAAACACCACTTCTTGGTGACGGCTGCCTTATGCTGACGTTTGAGCCAATTAACACTCCAGTGTAAGAGAGGCCGAGAAAACCCGGCACAGCACCGCCACTCATCGTACCCAATGCTCTGGCTACCCCTCTCATTGTATCATGACTTGAATCATTGTTCAACACTTTCACCATTCTATCGCGAAACGCATCAGGACAGGCTCAATTACTCGAAGACCGTGACATATATCGACCGTTGACGTTGCTTCGACGAGATCTTCTAACACTTCCCGCGGCGGAATTCAGCAACAACACCACTCTACACAGACCTCAAAAAAGTCCCAACGAGTGTCAAAGCACACAGTGTGCTCAGATCCTTGCCGCAGCCAACAACACTTTGTCGGGTCAGTTTTTGGAAAGAAATACTACATCCCACATCCTCATTTCTTCCACGGCTACGCTCCATTCCTCACCCAAGGTCATAATCCTCACCCCCACACGCCATGGCAATCCTCACGAGTCTCCCCAATGAACTTCTACTCTCCATCATAGCAGACGTATCTCCGTTATACATTGAATCATTCGCGCTCAGCTGCAAGCGGATCTACTATTTGTGTATAGACACAATCCGGGAACATGACATTGTGAGAAGCAGACTTGCGGAGATGCAACCACTGGGGCTGCTGAGGACTCTGTCGTTACACTCTGAATTAGCCTTGTATCCAATATCCTCGAAGCTTACATCCACACCCTTCGAGATGGAATTCCTGCAGCTAGACACTAGCATCGACGCGGGGCCACTTAAAAGTGACATCAACGCGTGGGCACTTCAGAGCCCGTTTACCATCTTTCATGAGACCGACGAACGCCACAAAAGTGTTAGAGACTTAGCGATGCCGCTAATGGTTACAAGACTTCTGAACCTTCGCAAGATAGACTGGGCCATTTCCTATCCCCGTTACCTGCTAGAAGCGGTCTCGCAGATCGTGGAAGCAAGCCGTGAGCCCCTTTCCAGCGTTCGACAACCGTTGGCTTTCGGCAGGTTGAATGAAGTCCGCATCGTGACCACTTGTGACTGCACCTATGGGATGGGCCTTGCGGTACTACTTGCGATGATCCCTTCCGTCAGGAAACTGAAGGTTTTGCGTATATGCAACACCGATCCGTTTGTTTGCCCGTACCCGCGTTACGACTCTGGTGTCACAGAGATGATCTTGGACGAATACGCTGACTCGAGCTATCTGGTGGAGTTAATCAAGCATACGAATCGCTTGCAGAAGTTCACATACAATCACAATATCTATAGTACGGGTACCTCAGCAAAATTCGAACCTCGGCATGTGGCAGAAATCCTGAAACAACGCGCTGGACATAGCCTTCTCTATCTGAATCTATCAATTGATGTTCCAGGATGTCCTGGATATCTGTGCCGAGACCGGTACCGGAATCACAACGATCTGTCTCTCGGACCTCTTCGAAGCTTCAGTGTCTTAAGAACTATAGTGACATGTGTCGATATGTTCATCAAGACGCGTGGACTCAGCGAATTTGGGAATGGGACTGGCACGGTGCAGAGACTGGTATCGTGGTTGCCAACTAGCCTCGAGGCACTGGTTCTCCACCAAGGGTTGGAAGAGTGGGATAAGGACACCTTGCGGATGCTGTTTCGAGGATTTCGAAAGAACAAGCAGAAACGCGTTCCGAATCTCAAACTCATCGATTTCGTGCGATGTCCTAGCTTCGAGCCACTGATGTCGGACAATATGAAGACCGCTTTTCAAGAGATGGGAGTGAAAGTAGGCTACACTCTGTACTGGTGCAGAAATCCTGAGTGTCGTCAGGTATTTGAGCAGCTGGAAGACTGGGAAGGGCGCCCTTGGGTAGAAGCGCTTGAAGAGTGCTGTCAGCACGAATGGTGTGGATGAAAGTCGACAGAGAGTACCTATGAGAAGCAATGTCGGTCAAATGGCGTTTGCGTCTAAGGCAAAGTTAGTCGACTGGCAACAGCTAAAGGAGACGCGATCTTGATGCAGCTAATTCATGTACATTCATGCCACTACCGAACCCGTTACTTCCATACGCGTATCCCAGTTACTTCTTCCTTGGCCGCTTCTCTCCGTCGGTCACTTTTTGCACCTCACATCCAACTCTCGGCTCAACTCTTCCTCCTTTTAATCTATCTCTTCAACAACTCTCGCGCTGTCATGACTCGCCAGCTGTAGCGGTGCTTTACCTGCGCACGCGAAGTTCAATGACTTATCTGTTTTTCCTGCCGTTACATTCCATTGTACCAAAATTGTGAAGCACCATTTCCAAAGTACCTTACCTCATGAGTCTCTCGCTCTTCGGCTCTCGCTTTCCCGTCTCGGCGTAACTGTGGCCTTGCTGACATACCCCTGATTGCATAATCCTTGAGAAAGAAAAAAAAATTCCCACAGTTCTGGCACACCCCAAAATCAAAAATCAAAAATTTCAATTTTTCTGTATAGGTCCACAACCACAATTAATTATAATCTGGAAAATTATCAAAATTTAATAAATAGAGTGTAGATTAGATTATAAAATTCTTAAAAGATTTAAATTATTCGTTATATTGTAAAATAGAATAATAGCGAATTTTACGAAGTACTCTTGACAGCTTTAGAATAGCCGAGGTAAAAAAAAAAAAAACCTTGGCATTTATTCAGATGATTTTTCAGCGCACCCTCGGCAATGTCAAATCAACATTTTATTATTTTACTTACGTTGTATAAATTAAATTTTTTAGATACTTTAATAATAAATACTTGGGTGTATAAAGTATATATTCTATAATTCTTAGACTATAATTAATTGTGGTTGTAAACCTATATAGAAAAATTGAAATTTTTGATTTTTGATTTTGGGGTGTGCCAGAACTGTGGGATTTTTTTTTTCTTTCTCAAGGATTATGCAATTAGGGGTAAAGCGAGGAGGATGGAAAGGGCCGTAAAGTCCGACGAAAAAGCGCCGGGTGCAGCGCTAAGATTCTTGTGTAGGTCCACTAAGCACTTCACAAGTATAAATGAAGTCGCATATATTCTCCTACATTCAGATTCCGAACAAACTCGAAGAATCGAGACTGCTATCTAACACGAATTGACCAACGGACAATGGCAACCCGCGAAGACCCTCCCACCACCCGCCTCTCCACCCCTCACGTCCCGATCCACTTCGTCCCCGCCAAAGCCGGCGAGATCATCAAGCTCGGTTCCGCGCTGACATTGCGCGTCATGGAAGACGGCTCCCACACCGACAACCGGCTCGGCGCCGTCGAACTCATCATCCCGCCCCGCACTTCCGGGCCCCCGCTGCACTGGCACGAAATGCACGATGAGACTTTCCTCGTTACGAAGGGTACGGTGAGGTTTCATTATCCGGTGATGGAGGGTCCGGGGGATGGGGATGGGGGTTTTCATGCAGATGCGCGGGTGGGGGATTATGTCGTTGTGGGGACGAGGGCGCCGCATACGTTTAGTAATCCGTTTGGGGAGGAGGCGAGATTTTTCAACACGTTTACGCCGGCGTTTTATGTGAACTATTTCAAGCTGATGGCGGAGTTGTTGCAGGTGAGTTTGGCTTCATCCTTGATATTTTCTTGGGATTGGGATTGGGATTGGGCTTTGGGCAAAGGGGGTTTGCGGGTGGCTTGCTGATGAATGTGTACGCAGGGAGGAGAAATGACGCCAGAGGTCAATATGCAGGCTATGGCTTCTTATGCGACCATCCCTGTCGAAAAGCGCGGTTGAGTGGGTGGGAGTGAGGTGAGGTGTGTTCGTAAAGGAAGGAGAATGTTGGAACCAAACTTGGACTGAAGAAGTGATGTACAATGCACGACCACGTTCCTTTGCCGGATTCGCAGAGACATCGTATATGCAATCTTCTTTGAAAGTAACGTATGCAGACAATTCAACAAGCTATTGGAGGGTGTGCATCCAAAAGGCATGATGATCCATTGACTTGTTGCTAGGTGGTAGGGGGCACGCAGATACGGCAAATGCTGCAGCATCTCCATCACTTCTTCCATATTCCCTCTGCGTCGCAACTCCTCGGCGTGGACGCCTGACCAGCCTTTAGGAGGTGCGAAGACGAGAGCATTTGGCTCTATATAGGGCAGCTTGATCAGCAGCTCGTAGGATACTTGTATGGTGGCAATGACTTCTTCGCGAGAGTAGGAGCTCTCGGCGTAGAAGGGATGGACGCGGAGCGGAAGAGAAGTGGACATAATCCCGCAAGTTGTTGTTTGCAGATGATGTCCCACGTAATTAAGCTAGTCAATAGAAGTAAAGAACTCCTGATAATCGGTGGTTTCTGTATCACTGCCATTGTGCCTGGTAGAATACAGTACCAGATCTTAAAGCTCGGGTAAAGGAGTGTAAAGTGAGGTATGAGGTGTAAGGGATGATTAGTTTGGAGGTAGCCCCGATATTGCAATTCCGCCTTGGATGAGTTTGGGCGTTGTAGAATGATGTGCCGAGGAATTGAGAACTAACCCCAACTTGGCCCAGGAGAATATGTAGCACCAGGTGTATATCACCAAGTAGCTACAAAACACCATCCTGGCAGCTATAACCTGGGCCTGTGGGCTCTGCACATCGTACTACTCCAAGTGCACGATGGTCTGACAGTCTTGGGTTCAGTCCTCTCGAGTGGTGTCCTTCCAAGCATAGCCGTATCTGACAATGGAAACTACAGCCTTGACGTTACATCTCTGGCAATCACGATGCGAACATTCATCACAAAATAAGAAAGGCTTTGGCCTAGTACCCTACCCTAATTCGCTTATTTGGTAGCAGACCCGGGTCGGCACTGCGGATTCAGGTGTGATGAGGTCTTCTTGTCCTGGCCAGGATATCTGGCAATCTGTGCTGCGTAAGTGTCCGGGAGAGGCCGTGACTGATGTAAAGAAGTCTTGTTCAATGATTAGCCCCAATAATTTGTTATAGGTCTCGGCTTACCGCTGGCTCGTCACGTCCAAGGTCTAGTGTTCAATGAGTGTGTTAAATGAGAATCTTGACCTATGTGCGATGATTGGTCGCCAATTTGTGTTATAGGTCTGGGCGAGCCACCGGGTTTTCCACTGCGGTAAACAGCCAGTTTCCTCAATGTCGCGCAATGCACTGCGTGGGGCCTTTCTGAGACTATATGATGGAATTTTGATGACGGCTTGTTGTTTTTCTATGGAGTTTGTGTGCTACTTATAGTTGTTGCCAAGCACAATAGGGCTGAGATGCTGAATCCCAACACTACTCGTGCGTTCGAGAAGTGAGCTACTTGATAGAGCGAGGACACCAATAGATCAAGCGACATCGCACTAAGTAAAAAGATCTATTGGTGTCCTCGCTCTATCAAGTAGCTCACTTCTCGAACGCACGAGTATAGAAGCGGGACGGGTTATGCTCGTTACGACTAGATTAAAAGGTAATCACTAGTAGTCCGTCACTAAACAGTAACTTATACTAGTTGTAGGCTTGAAAGCGTACGACCGCTTTCCCACACATCTACTATATCTCTGACGCAAAGCGATCCGCGCCACTCCTTGACTGTTTCGTTTTGGGGAAGCTAGTACCTGTAATCGGGTAAAGTGACGAATAAAAGATGTTTCATTTATATTACTGTATTATTACAGAAAGAACTACTACCTATTATTACTAGGAAACGCACTTTACTAGAAAATGCAGTTTTTTTAAAATTCGATAAATCCGGCGCAATATCAAAGTGTTTACTTCTTATTAGAATTCTATAATAATTAGATATAATAATAATATATATCTTACGATCTATATAGATATATAGCTACTTCTATAAGTTAAATTCATTATAGTAAGTAGATCTAGTTACTCTGAAGTGAACATTAATATTAAATATAATATTTACTCGCTAGTAACTAAGCGAGCTTTTTATTTCTAATTAATCTATTACTCTTTATTTAAGATCGCTTAATTTTAAACTTAAATAATAGATAGTAATATATATTAATTACGATATCTATAAGTATAAAGCTTTTATAATTACTATAAAGTTATTATTACTAGTTAAGAAGTAAGTTATAATTAAGATAGATAATTCTAAATTCTTTTATTAACTATTACTTAGTTAATAATAGATTAATTTATATTATTTAAATTCTAAATTATACTATAGAATATATTCTATAGTTTATACTCTTTAGAATATAGATTTCAATGCGTTAGAATGGGCCAGGCCATATTTTAGTGGGAAGTAGACATTTTGATATTGCGCCGGATTTATCGGATTTAAAAAAACTGCGTTTTCTAGTGATAACAGGTAAGGTAATGTAGATAGATCCCTCACCTTACCTAATCGATGCCGAGTCCTCAGGCCCAAACAAAGTCAAAGATTTCCGCGATAATTACGATAAGGTATATCGAATACGCCTCGGATAGTAACCAATCAGTGTGACTACATGAATTTGACTTGGGAACCGTGAATCAATCTTGAGCTAGTCATACGTGGCAAATATCTTCCCAGCCTTCTTACCTAATCATGAGCATCATGATCTGAACCCTGCTACGGAGTTAGCCTCAGTACTCAGACTCTACATTTTTGGGGGGGGGCCGGAACATTATATTGCCGAGCCGATTCCGTCATACCCCCCCTGTAGAGTCTGAGTAGGAAACCACGGAATCGCTATATTGACCGTTATTTTGTATGGGATCCTCACCAAAATTGACCGAAATAGAAAATAAATAGTTTCTTTTATATATAACTTTTTACTAAAAACTCTAATTAAAAAATAATCTTTTATAGAATAACTATTTAAATATCGTAGAATTAGATTTTTTTTTTCAATTTTTAATAAAATAGCTTAATTAATTATTTTTAGAAGATTTAAATTAAAGTTTTAAAAACTATACTTTTAACCCCCCTCTTATTTTTTAACGTGCACCGGTAAAATTCCAAAAATAATATCAAAATACTCGTTATATTTATAAGTCTATTTAAGAATATTATTATAGAATTCTCTAGGCCAGATTTTACACATTAAGATTTGTTATATTTTTACTTAAAATTTATTTATCTAAGCTATTATCTTAAATAATTTATTAAATAATTTTAAATTTTAAATTATTATTTAATAATTTATAGATATAAGTAAAGATATATAAAGTTTTATTAATATTTTTTTTACTTTATTTAATTATTATATTATTTTAAGATTTTTAGAGAAAAAAATTAAAAAGCTTAATAACTTTAAAGACTTCGAACTTTAAATTTAGAAAATTTGATATATTATTATTATATATATTAAGAATATATTTATAAATTTTTATAAAATATGATGGTTCGGTTATTAAGTAATAATATATCGAAGTTATAGATTATTAAGTTTCTTTGAAATAGTTTCGGGGTAGCTCGCTCCGGGGTAATAGCTACCCCGGAACTTACTAATGCTGATATATACTCAGGGGTAAATATCTCATATCAGCTAAACCACCAAAAAAATGAGGCTTGGCACGGTTTCCTGCTCAGACCCACTGCGTGGGGCCACTGAGACTACTACGGAGTAAGAGCGACGCCGTCGAGCGGGAGCGGGTACTCGGCCACTCAATTGTTTCCCAGCTGTTCTACTCGTAGACTGGTATAAGGGTACCAACATTACACGGCTCAAGTAAATGACGCATGATATTTTCCCCCGGGATTAATCCTTGCCACCTCCAACATAATGTACCTGTGTCTTTTCTCTTTTTTTCTTCCACCTTCCCCTCTTTCTTTCTTTCTTTCTTTCTTCCTCTTCATCATTCTACGTCACAGACTTTGACTCACTTGGTCTTTGTTTGGTTGGTGCGGGTAGCAGCACCCCCAATCTTCATCCTCCCCAACTGCTCCGAAATGTTACTCGCGACGAATCTGCGAGCCTCTAGCTCGTGGTGTGATCGGCGCATCATCTTCATCTTTATATTTTTTATCTTCCTCTACATCATTGCCCTGATCTCCTTCAGCCCGTCCTTACGCCAATTTCCGCAACATTTCCTCGGTTACCACACTGCTTCCCATGGCTTCACTGAAAGTGTATCTCCTGACTTCGAGGCTCCCAGTGATTACTACGCTACTTCCCATGACTGGACCACAAGTGCGTCTCACGACTTGAATACAAGTGCACCCTGGACATTTGATCCTATGAAACATAGTGAGAATTATGGACTGTCAGACTTACAATGCAGCTCCGCCTTTCCAAAACTCTACACTTCCATCGATGAAATGGTAGCTCGTCACACTTCAAACCCCATCAGAGCAGATAGTTTGGATGCTGAAATGACCGGTGACCACGCCGTGACAGGGCCGGTAAAGGCCATGATCTTCAAAGGAGAGCTTTTTGTCATTGAAGATAAAGGGATGACGGATTACTACGGCACTCGACTTTTCGCTACTCTAGACGCCATACATCGTGCCTTGGTGTCCTTCCCCGACCGGGCACAGCTGCCGAGCTGCGAATTCATCATCTCCTGGGGAGATAAGCCTGCGCGTGGCGCTCCAGTCTGGGGATATACAAAGAACGACACGCCGGAGTACTACGACACATGGCTGATGCCGGATTTTGGGTTTTTCAGTTGGCCGGAACCGAAGACAGGCGCGTACACTGAGATTCGGCGTGCCATCAGGAGAGTGGAGAAAGAAACGCCTTTTGAGAAGAAGGTACCAAAGCTTGTCTGGCGGGGGGCACCCCTGATTGAAGATCGAGTGAAATTTTTGGATTACACGCAGCAAAAGGCCTGGGCCGATGTCCGGGTCATCAACTGGGAAGATGGAAATGATCTCGAAAAGAATTATTTGACGCTGGCGGAACACTGCCGCTACATGTTCATCGCCCATGTTTCGGGCCTCAGTTGGAGTGGCCAAGGCAAATACACCCGCAACTGTCATTCAGTCCTTATATCTCATGAACTAGAGTGGCGCGAGATCTACGACTCTGCACTAGTTTACTCCGGTCCTGAACAGAATGCTGTTAGGGTTGCAGATGATTGGTCTGACCTCGATGCAACCATGGAAACCTTTCTTGCAAACACCACAGCGGCAAAGACCATTGCTGACAATGCCAAGGACTCGCTGCACGATAGGTACCTGACGCCCGCAGCTGAAGCTTGCTATTGGAGGAGACTCATCCAGGGCTACGCCTCAGTTAGTTTCGACCCGGAGCTTTACGAAGCCGACGAACAGACCCTGCGAGGGGTGCCCTATGAGTCATTCACACTGCTTCGGAAAGTTCACTGGGACGCGTATTGACGATACTCTCGACCTGTCCTCTAAGCCTTCCTTGGCTTACTTACCTTGACCCCACGGAGACGCGTCTCTTAGTCACTTCGATACCTGACTCCCCAATATAGCGCTGCTACGAAGATTCAAGTACCTTCAGATTCCTGCCGCTCGGGATTGTGGATAGAATGATGGAGGAGTTCATCGCGTAGTTGCTGTCGCAACCGCGTTGAATTTCCACTGCTCCCAGCGTGTTCGAAGCTAATAGCTTTCGAAGGGTCGTGGGCTTGTAGGATCTGTGTGGTTGCTTCTAGGAGACCACCCGCAGATTCTGTACTGATGTGCCATCTCGAAGGTTGGAAGACTCGTGATCAAAGCCAGGCTTTTGGAAACAAATTTAGACGACTCCCGAAGTTTCGGGGATGCTGGATACAAGGCTAGACCGGGGTCTGAAACAAGCTTCTGGAGTTGATCATATCATGCTAGAGTTACGAGGGAGCTTTTGGTGGTGTTGTGTTTTGGATCCCGTTTGCAGCATGACTATGGATGTAACTGCGGCTGAGCACGAACGAGTCGAAGTGTCTGGGTTATACTTGGGCTATGATGAGGAGCGAGAGCTCGTTGTCCTCGAGGGGTCGGCATGACGGTTTCAATGAGTATGTAATTCGAAGAATGTGAGCGTAGAGGTGCATGTAGGTGTGGGACGCGGGGACTTCTCGAAGTGTTGCCTGCGATGCGGCCAGTCACTCGAGAGATTTCTTCGACACTTGTATCGTGTTGTAGGGATAGCAAAGCTACAGAGCACGTACCCAGGGGATGTGATCAGGACTGTAGCAAAACCAGCAGAGCTGCATTACTTGTCCGGCACGGCATCCTCATGAACTTGCAAGTAAATCGTTGCGCGAGATCTGGTGCCCGGCTTTCTACCTGCCTCTTGGCATGTCCGAGCCCGTCGGCCGAAGTAAAGACGAGGGAAAGTCGAGACGAAGCGGAGGAGCACGCTAGTGTAAGCCTCTGTTGTGTTGGCAATATGATAGGCTATGCCCAATACAATTAAGACTAGAACTATATATAAGTAGTAATATAATTAAAAGTCTTATAGTAATTATATTTTTTAATAATTATACGTGAAATTACTATAAAGTAATTACTTTAATAATTACGCTAGTAGATACTTAAAATTTAGTCTAAAATTTATCTATTAAGAGATATTATTTTCGTATAATCTAGTTCTACTAAGAGTACTCTTACGAGTTAAGAAATAAGACTATATAGATTCGAGATATGTATAGAAGCTATAAGAGCTATAGAAGCTTTTAAACTTAATAGAAGAATAATTAATAAAGAAATAATAGATTTTAAAGAATTTTCTTCGTAAGATATTATTAAGACTATAGATTTAATTAATTAAAAGATTTATATTTAAATTACTAAGCGTATTTTACGAATTATATACTATAATACTCTAGAGATCTAATATACGATAATTACTATAAAGTATTTACTTTATATATAATATTATATCGCTATATATAACTACTATGTAAATAGATCGCGTATATATAATAGATAGAATATAAGAAAAGAACTTTATGCAAGTGGGCATGGGCCTGATATAAATGCAAAAAGTCGCTTGCCAAATCACTGGAGATTTGTCCCTCCGAGTCATCCGATTTTGGCTTGTGGCCCATAGTAAATCGGATTGCTTCGGGGGTCACATCTCAGCCTTCCAGGCGTGTTAGTTCCACATATGCGGAAAGTGGACTGATTACCCTGGCACACCATAGCCATGGCTATATGGCTGTAGCCCCCAGCCACATTGTGGCTAATGGCCATAAGCCGTCAAAACCAACATGTTGTATCAGCGTAATGCTCTGTGACGATGACGTGATTTCCCTTTCTGCTCGAAAAAGAGCACACCCGATTCTGGACACCTTAGGTTCCATCTTGGTGTTCATGCCTTCGGGCCTCCTCTGTGAGACGGCGGAAGCTTGAGACGCTACTGATGATAGTAGTCGCACTGATCTGGGCTGAAAAGTTGAACTATAATTAAGTCCGAGGGGTTGCTTGTTAACGCCGCGATCGGAGTAAGGAAAAACAAATGGTGCAGCACACCGTTGGTGACATGTGTGCCTTCGTGTGCTTGACTCGTTCGATGTTCTTTTGGTTCCCTACTCACACTATCCATGTTGTTGGCAAAAGAAGGCTGGTCCTACGGCCGTCCTCCTCTTTCGGTAAAGATCGCCTTCAACCGAACGCTCTTGACGTGAATCACCACCGATCCCCACATGGATTTGATGACATCGCGCACTGTTGTTCTGTTATTTTGACGTCGACTAGCCTCCATCAGGAGCAACGATATCGGCCTATCATTACTGTTTTGAGGAGTCAAGGCCGGTCTGTTGGTACTTTAAGCGCCAGCTGCTTCCCTCGTCTTGATTTGTGTGATCTACATGTGGTGGCTTTGAGAGAAATGGCAATTGGACTCGACCTGGACTCGGGCGAGAAGGGTCTAGATCAGCGGGAATGCCTTGCAGGAACCAGGTTGGCGCGCATGGACGGCTCTGCTCGCTTTCACTGCTATTGCCGACAGTGTGGGGTAATGATGACCAATTGACAGCCACCCTGCATGAAATATCTTTTTATTCTGGTGTCTTCCTACGTAAGCATTTCTATTTCAGGCGAGCGTTCGGATGCCGGAGCATGATCATTTCGATTGGCATCCTTTTTCGCCTAAGAAAAGCCCAGTCAGAAGACCGTCGTTGTACGAGTCTTGGTGCAAACGTTGCCAAATTGGTGTTGCGCTTTGGCCCAAGGCTGCGCTTGGCCGCATGTTGCTTTGGCACATCTGCAATGAATCTTCACCACCGTCTGTCGCTACCCGTAGGCCTCTTAATCCAAGACGCCAAGATTTCCAAACACCAAAGGCGCTTTCGGCATAGGATCTCCGATTCTCGTTAATCAAACACCATCTCTCATGCCCTCACGACTCGCAAAAGACCTTACTCCATACAGCGCATCATGGGAGGTATCATTCGAGATACTGGTCTCGATAATTTGATACGAGTACTGTCCAAGCAAGATCCAGCGCTTCCTGCGCGAGATTCGTTATAGTGTCCGCGCCCTCACACCGAGACGCCTGTACGCATCGCAACTAGAAAGCATACCGCTGATTCTAGATACTTATAGAGTGGTCTTTTGGTAGAGAAAGATTTAGTACTCCAGCCATCCAATGACTCCTTTGGTGGATTCGAGTGCGGTGGAGCAGAAGACGTGGTATGCTGGTATCGACCAGACGACCCAGAGGATGGTACAATACCTAATCAATGACTTAGTATAGCCCCACTAAGTGCCTTAGAATGCTCTCGATTTCTCGCCCTGTACAAAGGGCTTCGTATGCGTCGAAACTTCTTCTTAAACAGTTTCTTCTACCCAGGGTCTTCAATCTAAACCCCCCTGCATTCCCGGCGTCATGAAGGACCTCAGTGTTGGCCAACTCATTGCGACGCTTGGGACTTTGCTCTCAATCATGGGCTACGCTGCAGGTCCTATGGTCTGGTTTCTGTCTGAAGCTCCGAAAGTCCGTAGAAACACCGTCTATATCAGGACTCTCGCCATTGTCCCCCTCCAGCTTCCCATAACCTTGGCCACAGATATAGAGACAGTTTTGGTAATTAGAGTATGTGCTGTCGCAAAATTATGCAACTAACCTTTAAAACCTGCCTCAACTTTCGACCAGACTGCGAAGGAAACTGCTTTTGCAAGGATTTGTGTCATTGCCATCTTTGATAGATCCAATCATCCTTGCCCGAACAAACCCGGTCCCGCAACATTCTTTCTCTCCGCGGGGCGTTCCCGATTTGTACAGATGCTACTCAAAATGTTTGTCGATGTAACCACTTCGAGGAGTTGGGCGCTGGTAAAAAAAAAGTCATTTGAAGTCCCAAACATCCAAACTCTTTAACATGTATAAGACTAAAGCACGATCATAACTGCCAGAAGTTTGCCGAGTGCCTCGCTACTTTTATCAGCGTCCTCGCCAAGCCAGACCAGAGTGGTCCAGGCACGTTACAGAAGTGCGACACGGTGGCTTTTTTGTTCATGGTCATTCTGATAGATACAAACTTGATTAGAGCTGGGTTACCCCAGGCAAATGAGGAGCGCCGTGTCACAAACGCGCGTACCTGATGTGCAACACGAAGCGTGGAGACGATATGGCCCGATTTGCGTATGTGGGTCTATGGGGTACTCAGAAGCCGACAGAGCAAGCATGCAACTGCAATTCAATTCGTCTCCAGGTTCTCAGACGTGGGTTCCAGTACTCTCACGTCTTGAGGCTCAGTCAAAGCCTAATAGTTGAGGGTATAAGACGCAGCAATCTCTGTTGTGGTGCACAGGAGAGCTCTTTGAGGTAGACCATATGATCGTTTCTCGGATGCGAAGACATCAATCAAAGCTCCATGAGGATATTCAGTACAAGTACGTAACTACAATGCTGCATGGAACACCTTCTGGTGTTCCATCAAATTCGAACCGCCACCCCACGTGGTCTGCCACGGCCGTAAGGCACAAGTGACTGAGTGTGTAATTTGGTAGATGCATTACTCCATAAGAAGAGTATGCACTGAGCGCCTAGTGGCATTCTCGCGGATAATGGTGCTCACGCTCCTGAATCCGGAACATGACGAAGTGAGTGAATCAAGGGCCAGAAAGTCCCTTGTGCTCCACTAGGTCGGTTTTCTACGCTCATTGACTTGTTTGAAAGAATAGGAATTTTGGGTGCCGAGGTTACTCACGCTCTTGAGGCGTGCAGGCTTCTAGGCAATGCATTGCTGGCGCTTTTGTGTCTTTTCTTGAGACAAGTCGCTCTGAGTGCCGCATTGCGGACTCATCTACAGGCACCAACTATGATGCGCTTCCTACGGTTCGTATCACCGAATCAGCTATGGTTCTCCCAGTAAGGGATCTGAAAAGCGTATTTTGTTGTACTTGCGACAGTCACTTCGCAGTAGGCGCAATTCACAAGAGACGTGGTTCCACTCTGAAGAACATGCGAACACCGCGTCAACCAGTCTGAGTAGAAGCATAAGTGGGAGAGTAGGAAGGGGAACTCCTGAAAAGAGGCGCTCTTTCATTGTCAGCTACGTACACGGCATCTTAGTAAGACTCTCGCGCTGCAAAGCGTATCGCATTGCCACCAACGTCGAAGATAGCCAAAACGTTTTTCAAGAACACAGATCCTAGGATCGATACTCTCTCGCCGGCATCAGCGATAGCAGACACCCAAACCCCGTTTCGTAATCCTAGATCTTGTAACATGTCTTTCCCGTTGATAAAGAATGTCTGTCCTCCAATCTCGATCCCAAGTTCTGGCGCCTTAGCTGAGCAATATATCGTACACAAGCCTAGTCCCGCGTTGTACAGAGGCGGGGGATCGAATAGCGCATTCACTGCGTTCGTGACTCCAGTGGGGAGGTTTTCGGTTCGTTGCTTCGTTCATATGTGAGACCGTTGATGGTGATAGTGTATAAAGTATACGCGAGATCCGGCTCTGCATGCTGGAATTCTGCTGCTGGCACGATGGCGATGTTTATGGACAGCAATTGAAATGGCGAACTAGCGAAGAGGGAACGGAAAGGCACAGGTGGAAGCCCGCCGATTGCGAGAAGCCCACCTCCTGCAGTTCCGTTTGTACTTGCGGACTTTTGAGTGGTTAAGCTGAAGAGCGGCATGATGTAGCCACTGGTGTACATCTTTGTGAAGAAAGTGTTGTACTGAAGTTGCTTGATGTTGATGGCCGGGTTGGTCCCCGCGTAGACTGATGTCGACGATTTGGAACAAAATTTCAATCAGCCCGCTCGAAACCCCGTTACCGGGGTTTCTCGCGTAGTTTAGTCACCTCCAGGTCCTGGACCGTTAATCCATCAATGGTCGCTAGTTCGTTGCCAACGATCTCCGTGACGATGCTGCCATCCCCGTAGACCGCCTGAAAATGCTCATTTGGAGTGTGTTTAAATGTGGACGAGACGGTGTAGGTGGGTCCAAACATGCATTTTTTATCGTGAGCTCCAGTCGAGTCGTCGGCGCATTCGAAGCCTTGGCCAACCAGCCGTTTCTCGGAGCTTTCGGTGTCGACTTGTGTTTGGAATAATTGCGTGCCAAACTCAAGATCTGTGACGAAGCCTTGATCTCCGGCAACGGGTGTCACTGGCTTGAGGCCGTGTACCCTGTTGACATGGTTTCCTTTGCGGAGTAAATGCAGGTACACTGCGCTTTTGGAGGAATCGGCTTTCCCGGTAAATGGGAGAATGTGTGCTGCAGGTGCGTTTGGGTTGGGCAATTCGAATGATGGACGAGATTGGCGTCTGATTGTGAACTTTTGGGAGTCGATCGCCTCTCCACTGTAACATATACACCGAGTACCATGTAGAGCGTTGTGAGAGCCCTGTTGCGCGATAAATTCTGCCGGGAGTGTAATCCAACTGAAACAAAAGGCGCTGGGCAGTATTTCGATTGTACTGCTCATAGTCGGAGGAGAGAAAAAGATGTCGAGCCTTTGTAGTCTATCCATAAAGTTGGGCTAAGTCCTCGAGAAGTAGAAGTGGGAGGTCTATCCCCACCCAACTATCATGTCTGGCTTTCCCAAGGTCAGAGCGTTTGTGGCCTTAGTAGGATAAAGACGTGTGAGCTCAGATCAGAGACTGTGTCGATATGGCTTGAACCTACATGGGAATATCTGGATCCAGCCAGACCCAAGAATTAGATGTTGATTCCGCTCATACAATAGGGCGAGACATAGCACCAACCTTGAGTCATGATCGGAGTTCTAGATTCTCGAGGTCAGGCTGCCAGAAAAATTGAAGTACATGCTACACCTGGTATCTCTGGCTCATGGTAAGATTTGTTGTAAGTGAAGGTCTAGTAAGAGTAAGAAAATCTAAGATTTCGGTGAGATTTGTGTCATCGAACATTTGGTCAACGAGGCCAGGCCGAAGAAAGGAGATGCAGATTCTGCGAAGGCGGAAACGGCTCACTCGCGTAATAAAACAGAAGAGAACGGAAGAGCAACGGGGAGCACTAGCTGGACGAATACGAAGAGTTCTCACATCCTGATGAGTGATGAAGAGGATCATCTTTTAGTTTAGCTCCGGCAAACGCAAACGGCTCCAACAAAACAACGAACTGATGTGACCGAGGTCCAAAGCCTAGGAGAGCAGAACGTTTAGGGCAAAGCTAGTGAGAGCAATACCGATGGAGAGATGAACGACCTAAGACATGCAGGTGACGAGGTTTGAGGTTTCCTACATGGCATGAGATTTGCTTGTCGACACTCATGAAAGAGCATTGTTGTCATTGCTTGTTGCTTAGTTTTCACGAGGTAGCACACGAATTAATTGACATGAGCTGTGGCAGTACGAAAGCCTCGAACTATGAAATCATGCTTCTACTCACTTATGCAGTGTTTGATCAAGATCTTTTGCTTTGCACATCGTATGCGACTCAACAGTTTGACAACCTCCAAGATTCCGGCAGAACAAAACCACTTATATATGACATTGAGCTCGGAAATGAGAACTGGAAAGGATATTTGTAGTCCGTAGACTCGGGATATTATGATATATCGTGAGGTAAGCTGTAGTACTTGACGTAAGTAGCAACGCCACCTTGTCAAGGGAGATGATTGGGCTTGGCAGGGCTGGATGTCGGCTTGGTCGCGCTTTCCTATTTGAGAACACTTCAGTCACAACACTTAATCACTCCTTCTCACAACTTTTCATCACAGAATCCTGAATCACACAACAATCCAACAAGGTCAGTTCATCAATCAACGCCTCACCATCCGATTCCAGCATCCACAGCTCCACAATGACCAACAAGCAAGGCTTTGCCGCGTACCCACCAAAAGTGAAGCACACCGAGATCCTAGGATACGTTGAAGAAGTCAACGGTATCTTTCACTCTCGCGATATCGGTCGAGGCTTCGAGCTCTTCGGGAACGTCTATCTCGAATTCGGTGACACCTTCTGCAATGACAGCAACGGAGAGTTCGTCGGCCTTGCAAATAATACCGTGGCAATCATCGAGGACACGAACCAACCGCTCAAGAGCAAGTATCTCGAGGTCGAAGAGAACGGATTCATCAAGCCATTCATCCCTTTGACGTTCGAAGAGCAGCAGCTTGAGGGTCGTGTGGTTCTCTGGGCTTTTGGCGGGGTGGTCGAGATGAAGGATGGCACTGGCCGTCTGTGGTACCAAAAGAGCATCGATCATGGGAGTGGCAATTTGGAGTACTTCGGTACTGGGGTCGCGAAAGTTATCGAGAACTACGGTGAAGAGCAACAGCCTATTGTTCACCGTATGGACAACCTCACCTTCGGTCCCGATGAGCCTCGCATGGGAACATTCACTGCTATTGCGGACGGCGACTTCATCTACCTCTTCGGTGACAGACCCGATGGCAAGATTATCCTTGCCAGAGTCTACGATGGACGCTACCAAGGTCGTCTAGGAGAGAAGGAAGCGCACTACTACTGGGATGGAAGCGATTGGGTACAAGATTGGGGAAAGGCGGCAGTGGTGATCGAGGGCATGCAGCAAGGCGCTATCGTGCGATCGAAGCTTTTCGGTGAAGCTAGGCCATTCGTGTTCGTCGGTACGAGCAAATGGGCAGACAGTCAGGTCTTCATGGGTGCGTCAGCCAAGTTGGAAGGCCCGTGGAAGCTCGAGGCTGTGTGCAAGGCAGAGGGTATCAAGGAGCCTACGAGCAAGGGCAAGTGGATGTACTGTATCTACCCGCAGCTTTGGGCTTCAGACGAGGAGAACGCGGAGCTCATGGTGACTTGGAGCGAGCAGTGCCCGGGTGGTATTGTCGCCGCTAAGATCAAGCTGGCTGGCGTTGAAGACGACGATATAGGCTCTTGACAGAACTTGCGCAATGGGAAACGGCTGTAGTATATTTTATAGCAGCATGTAGCAGTGCTTGACAAGGTTCATAAATAGCGAACATCCTACATAGAAGAACGATATCTCACATCACACAAGTCATGTGCAGAGCTTGAATTGGGATAGTGAGGGAGAGAGGTACAGTAGAAATTACTCTGATATCGGGCCGGAATCGGTAGCATGGAAAAGTCGTTTTTGGTTGACACCTGCTCTGTTTGCAGCTGCCTGTCAATCTGCTCGTCTTCGATACAGAGCCTACAGGAGATTTCTGGACTCTTGATCGTTGCGCGGTGCAGGCAATTTGCATTGTTTATTCCCAATCCGCCACTGCTTCCTACAACTCCCTCGATGCAATAGGCGTTAAGAAGACTACAACTTGTAAAGTCCACTTTCTCGGACTCAGACCTCATTTGTCTAAACGCCATAAGTCAGCAATGGATACTCAATTACACCCCTCGAAAAGGCGCCTCCGCTCACCATGCTCTACCAAATCGTCAGCTTCCCGCGGCTCACAACATCCACACGCTTTCTCGAAATTTCCCTCGAATCTTGCATTCAGTTATTCGGCGAGGTCATCGCCTGCCGAACTATCAACCTCACGATCATCAACATTGGCGCCCAGCTTCTTCCTTCAACTAGCACCTCTCGTTCGGAGTGCTTCTACGGGAAATCGGAATCCTAGCAGATCCTCGCTCTACTCCTCGTGGGCCACCGAGTTCTTGCCGAAACAGCGAGATCTTTTTATAGTAACACTGTTCTTGACGGCGACCGTTAACATATCTCTATATCTCCTAAAGTGATGATTAACTATGCGACTCTTATAGCCATGAGTCCGCTGCGTGCGCTTGTCGCAATGTTTCTGAAACCGTAGGGGCCGGGAGACAGTTTTCTACGACAGCCGCATTCTTAGGCGCTCCTTCGGCGTTACTTGGTGTGTCTTCGCGTATCGCGTCCGACGTTTCAAGAACCACCGCGTGACTTTCGAAGATATATACAGGTGCAAGGCAGATCACTAAGTGATATTTTCTCTCGAAGCGTATGACCGAGATAATTGTCTTTCTTTGTGACAGTAGTCAGGATTTTTTCAAGAGCTACGCACAATTTCTTGTGGCATGCTGTGTTTATTTCCTCGTTCTGGTCTGGCTCATTTGTGACTGGCGCAGCTTTCTTGAACACACCTTCGATCCCCAAAAGCGTCACTCAACTTCAATACGTATCTAATGCAACCCTGTCAGCAAGCGTCCCGGCTGACTTCAAGGCCATCGTTCAAGAGCTGCGCGGTCCAAAACTCCCAAGCGTTCTTTGTCTTCAAATCGCCGTTCATCTTATCGATAAACACTTAGCGTTGGAAGATTTCACCAGGCGAATCCCCGGACAAGGATGGAGCCAGTTCAACGTGGTGATTTCAGTATCCACACAGGAGGTTGAGGGGAACAGTATAGAAAAACGTTATATCATCTGGGGGATCTTCGAGGCTCTATCAAAGATGGTGCGAGAGAAGAACTTCAATTCCGCCCTTTTCCGACTTGAATGGCGTGGAGTTCTCGTTGGTTCTTGGCTATCTACCCAGAAGCTCTTGGTGGAATAAATGCCCAAAGCAACTCCAGCAACGGGACTCAACTCGTCTTTAGGGGACGGGAACTACGAATGAAATTTCTCAAGCTAGGGCCACCCGCTTTGCCACTCGACAAATACGGCACCTTCATGAACATGATAGGTCTACTGATGCAAGCAGCACAGTACTTACCATTCCAGAGTATCCGGCTGGCTTACACGCTCACCGTAGGTTGGGGCATGCAGGTTGTAGTGAGCGGCGGAATCACGCCAAAGCCACCTACTACGCGGCCCTTTCTAACCTACGGACTAATCATTGAAGCGGTGACGCTGATCCCGGAGACTCTAGCTCGAGTTCAGAATTCGGACGCCTTGGGTCTATAGCTGAATCTTCGCCGCCACCACGGATGGTGTCATCCGCAACGTCTCCTTCAATGTCACGTCCGCCGATATGGACCTGATCGCTCATAATCTATCAGTCCCTTTGAAGTAATCGGGATTGTTTCTCTCCGCGCGCGCAAAAGTTTTGAGGACTCGCTACTGACTATCTGTATCAATGGAAAATGGACGGTTTCACTAGCAAAGGAGACATACTTTATCTGGACGAAGGAGAGTAGCTCACCGCTAGGTATAAGGCTAGCAGCTTTACATTGCGAAAGGAAGGGAATTTCGAGCTTAGCCCGGGGCGTGAATCGCGCCCGTGTAACGCCAAGCCTCTGCTTTAGATTTTCGCTTTGACGCGGAGGTATTGAGGTTGCGAATGACAGCTCAACCCTTGGTAACACTGTCGTTGATTAGAGTGAGAAATATACCGAAGTCAGGCGTATATTGATGAAAGTTTCAGCTATTCAATTCGGGCTTGGGACGCTGAGGCTTCCGCTTACAGGTAGCTAGCAACTGGCCCATACTGAGACTCGACTAATTCGAGCCAATTCTTTTCTTCACGATTATGCTACAGATAGCATTTAACCAGCCTGTCCCGATGCATTTGCTACGCCGTTCGGTGATATGGCTGACGTTAAGAGTATATCGTTACTGAATGTGCCCAAATTCGCTGGCTGTTAGACCCTGTATGAAACATCCTCCAGTCATATCGGCAACAGCTTTGGATCGCGAGATGCGATAATGTTGCATGCCCAAACTTTGTTGACTGCTTTCAGGATCGAAGAGGAGCCGTCAGCCGGCTTGCGCGGTTTCAGCAAGGCTTCAACAACTGACGGAACGAAATCGGCATCTACTCGTGCAGCCGAGAAGTCTATCTTCTTAGCAATCTGGCGCGGCAACAATTGAATTCTTCACTAATGGTATCGTATACGGAATCGATTGCTGGGTACTTCTGTGCAAAGAACGAATTTTTTTTTTGCCGCACAATTAATTTCGGGCTTCCTGACTACGGATCCGATGTCAATCTCGGTAAAGGGGTAGATTGGCCAAGGTTGATAATCAGCCCCATTCGAGTGCCGAGGGCGGACCCTTCATTTCTGGCAATTTGCGGAGCTGAAATATGCGTCTCACGTAAGCTGCCTATCCTAGGAGGTTTCTGTCGGCCAAGCAACGAACTGACAGTAATTCTCCATTCAGAGAAGCACGTGGCATTCATTTCCACAGCATCAGACGGCCGAACGAATAGGCGAAGATCATCTGGCACAACATAAAAGGCAATGTGATCTGATGGGGACCTATCCTGGACACAGTCAGAGTATGTGATGTGAGACGGACGAAATGAGACGGATGAGAGAAATTAGAACTGTAGCCTGCTATGCGGAAAAAGCCACTGGGAAAACGCATATAAAACCAGGTGGGGAGCTTCAATATTGAGGGCGGAAATTTTGACTTGACAGCCAGACTGCGTTATCAGTTCAGACAGCCAGACCCCTTGTCAAATTAGGATCCAAAGCTTCGACAACCATAGCCCGATATGTTTCTCAAGCTCTCTACATGGGCTCTGGTGCTCTCAGCAGCTTCAAGTCAGTAACGTTGACTTGTCCCAACGCAAATGTAGTGAACTGAAGGAGTGCTAAATTGACCCACAGATGTCCTGACATCTCCGCTTTTACCACGCAGCTACAAACGAAGCGCGGAGCCCCATCTCGTTGACCGTCAATTCGAGTGTCCCGGTGGTGAGTGCGGCCCCGGACCGGAATGCGCTACGATATTCTGTCACCTTCCCACATGTGTGGAGGCCCCTCTCTGCAAGAACTTCACTTCGAAGCGAAACGCAGCAGCTACTCTGGTCGACCGTCAGCTCGACTGCCCCCCTGGAGTGGAGTGCGGCCCTGGCCCTGAGTGCATCCTGGAGCTTTGTGACCTTCCCGGCTGTGCGGATGCCGAGGTCTGCCAGGGCAACACAGACAAGAAACGAAGCGCCGAATTGAATCTTATCGACCGCCAGTTCGAATGTCCCTCTGGTGTGGAATGTGGTCCCGGCCCTGAGTGCATCCTGGAGCTCTGTGACCTTCCCGGCTGTGCGGATGCCGAGGTCTGCCAGGGCAACACAGACAAGAAACGAAGCGCCGAATTGAATCTTATCGACCGCCAGTTCGAATGTCCCTCTGGTGTGGAATGTGGTCCCGGCCCTGAATGCACCCTGGAGCTCTGCGACCTTCCAGGGTGTGCGGAGGCTGAGGTCTGCCAAGATAAGTCCAACCAAAAACGAAGTGCAGAGACAGATATTGCCCACCCAGTCTGCGATATATGTATGGTGGACGACAATGGAATCACTGTGTGTGGCTGCGCTACTCCCAGCGAAGGAGTAGAACGAAGGGGAACGGAGCAGCTATGCCCCGAATACTGCATAACCACCCAGGATGGGGAGTCTTTGTGTGGGTGCGCAGCTGAGGCGTATGAGAAATCGTTACAGGGTATTGAGCGTATGGCTTGATCTTGGTCTACAGTATTTACGAGAGAGGGAAAGGCGTCGAAGTAGGTTGCTCTGCATTGACCGATAGATAGGGTGCAACGGGATGAACGTACAAAGTTTCGGGGGAGTGTTTTTCTTTTTCCAATAGTCGATTGCCATCATCAACTCATCATGATGGAATTGCCGTGTCGCAAATCGTGGATATACCTTTGAATCCTAGCGTAGCCATATTCGCTGTACTAGCTTTACTTTCTTCTCAGACCAGGACACGGCGTTATTATTCGTTGGTATAGACCTCGGTAAGAGAGAGTATTTAAGAGACTGAGTCTACTTATCGAAACTCGCTCCAGGCACAGAACATATTGTCTTGAAGATGCGGATGTGTCGCTCACTAATGTCACCTTATCTTGTCAAGGCAGTGAATTTCAGGGGCTGCTGACACACCCAGAACTGGTTGCTTTCAACACAGCACAAGCCGAGAAAAGCGCGACCTACAGCAATACTCTTGCTATTGCAATTACTCTACAACAGAATACGAAAGTTGATCGCAAACCCACTTATTGAAAACTGAAGTACTCTGATGTTCTGCCAAGCGATTCTACAATACTTTCCTCAACCAGGCAGTGACATCAAAAGATAACTTTTGGCAATCCACAGATACCAACTGTCTCAAGTATTGCTATTCACTGCGCAAATCTCGCGAAGAAAAAGCTAATTACATTCACTTCTTTGAATGACAAAAAGACATTGATGATGAATGAGATCACAAACCGGAATTATTTTCATTGTCATTGTATTGTCAATGAAGGTTGCCGTCAAAACATCTAAAGCCCAAGTTTCCCATTGAAGGCGGTCCTATTGTCCTCACCTATTTAAACTATGCGTTTTGAACGCGGCAATGGCTTTTATCAAATAAATATACGCACTCTTTGACCTGATGTTACAAGAAGCAACCAGCCTTCATTCTTGCCCTTGTTTTTCAACTATATTCCCCTGCGCTGGTCGCATTAAGTCTTTCCTCATCTTCCCTTAACATTGCAATACTGCGAAACAGTTCAAGATGTCTGACAGATCTGAGGTGCCCGACTTTCCACCCAGAGCTCCGGAATCACCTGGACTTCCTGAACGTACTGGCTCACACCCCATTACGTTCGTACCTGCACCGTTTGCGAGAAGACCAGTACCATCTTACCCCCAGCGCGCCGACTATGCAGACCTTGACCCTGATTTCCCTCGCGCATCATTTGTGATGGGCCCCGTGCCGCTAGCTTCTCCATGTGCAAAGATCAATTGCAACGGACCTGCTCCAATTGAGCGTCGAGCCGAAGAAAATAACCCTCACCGAACTCGTTGGGTAGGATATGACCGTTCTAGATACGCGATGAATGGTGGTTGGGAGGATCCAAACGAGACCGCAGCAGTGCCGAATGAGCAGGTTCTAGAGAGTATAGAGGCGGATGGAGACCCGCTCATTGCGTTGCGACAGACTGCCAGTGACAGTCAGACAGTAATTCGACGTGAGCTTGAAAGACGGGTAGTTTTGGAAGACGAGAATCGGGGACTGATAGGGAGGAATGAAAGAGTGGAAAACGACAATGAAGCACATATAAAGAGGAACCGATACCTTGAGCGATCACGACAAGATGATAGAAATGATCTGGCCTTGGTCCAGCAGCAGCGGGACATACTCCAGAGGCAACTAAATCTGGCTAGGAGCCAAGCAGAGCGACTCCGCATGGAGCGCGACGAGCCAGAAGAAGCATACCGTCGCAGGGAAGCTCAGCAACAGGAGTTTGAGCATGCGATAGAAAGGATTCGAGATCTTGAAGAGTCTGAAGTTAGTCTGAGGACTGAGCTGGATTTGGCCCTGACGACAGTAGACCGGTTACGGACGGAGAGGAATCGATTGGAGAATAGCCGAGAGCAACTTGAGATGGAGCGAGACCACTATGAGACTGAGCGAGACCGAGAGCGAAGCCATAATCATACCTTGCGAAACCAAAATCACGACTTACAGCAACAAGTCATATACTTGGTCAATCAGCTCCAAGCTGCACAAGCCGTTGCCATCCCACCTGTTGTCGTCCCGCGTCCAGTCAACACGGCTACAGTCAATGCGCCTCATATTGTTTCCCCTCCTGTTGGTTTGCCTCGTATCCATCAACATCCTATCCTTTCATCTCCAGTTACAGCGCCTTCAGCGGGAACATTGAGAGGTGGAAGAGGCCGGGGAAGGGGAGGTGTAAGGGAACGCGGAGGCCGTAGAGGGAGAGTTGCAGCTGCAACAAGAAGAAAGCAGCCCGAGAGAACTTGTAAAGTGGTAAAGGATTACAGGAAATAAGCAGGAGACAGGACGGTATTTAGAAATCGCGTAACTAAGGGAATACGGCACCCTAAATGGGCAGGTCGATTTTGGATTTTTATAGGCAGCTGCTACGCGTACAGCCCCTGTCTACTAGGCGTACAGCCCCCCCTTTATATCAGGTACACGCAGTCTTAAGAGCTTCAAAGTTGATGATCTTGCTATTTACAGAGCGATTACGAGTAAATAAAATCCTCCTTCTCCCAACAGTGGGACTGTGGGTTAGTGGGTCCATTATAAGGCAATAGCGAGCCGTCCCATTATTATACGATATGCGATATGCGATATGCGGGAGATAGGTGAATATGGCGAGTACTATTTATATAGCCACTACACTAGTAGTAAGCTCTTTATTTGAATTATTCTCTTTTAGTCGAATTATTCTCTTTTAGAGTTATATTATTATTATTCTTTTTATAGTTAAGTCTATATAAATTAGTCTTTATTTAACTTTTATAAATACTATTTAACTATTATAAATTTACTTTATACTCTTATATTAATATATTAATATATATAAAAGAATAAAATAGAGTTAAGCTTAAAAATCTTAAATTTATATATATAACTAATTATAAATTTAAAGTTACTACGCTCTTTAATTAAATTAATTAAATTATCGCGAGTAAATAAATTAATATTCGTAATTATTAAAAAAATAAATATACGTTATTAATATATAGAATAACTTTTTTATTTTCTATTAAAATTTTAAGACTTTTTTTAAATTATAGAATAAAATATAAACTTTTAAATTAAAAAAGAATTCTTAAATATAGTCTTATAAAGTTATAATTATTAAAGCGTAAGAAATTTAAATATCGCTTATTAGAGTTCGCTTATTAAAGATCGCTTATCTATTTATATAATAGATTTAATTAAAAAAAAAAATTATAAATTTAATTTATAAATCTTTACTCGTACTTTATAATAATTTTCGCTTTTATTACTAGATCTAAAAAAGAGTTTAAACGAGTTATTCTTATCTTTAAAATTATTAAAAAGATTATTAAGACTAAAATATCTTCTCTTCGCGAGAAGATTCTTATATATAAAATATTATTAAGTATTATTAGCTCGAACGAGATTAGTAAAATACTTTTATCTATTATTAAAATAAATCTTTAAAATTCGAATTACGTAACTCTTAGCGTCTTAATAATTACGTAATATAATTATATAATACGCCTTAGCGCGCTCGTATTAAATCGCTCTTTTCTTTAATAAAACTTTATAATTAATATAATTAAGTATTTTATTTTTATATTTTAATAGATTATAAGCTTAGACTATACTTAATAACTATTTTAATAATAATATAATTTATCGCTATAGCTACGATTATCTTTAGATATTTATATTTATTATAATAAAGATAATTATAACTATAAAAGACTTTATTAATCTTCTTAATATAGAAAATTTCTATTTTAAAATAATTATTTTAGATTTAAATAATTATAATTCGCTTATAATTCGAGAGTTAGAGACTATCGCTTAAACGCTTTCGCTTTTTACTTAAAATAATATAAAGCGAGTTAAGATATATTATATTTAGTTAAGACTATTAAAGTCGCTATATAATTAATTAAATTATATTATTATTAAGATCTTTAAAATATTATTAGTTTCTCTATATAGAATACGCTAAATAAAGAAATAATACGCTCTTATTTATATATTATAAATATTAAAGAATTAAATAGCGAGTATCCAGACTTTATATCTATCTAATTATAAAATATTTATAATAAAGACTAGAAATTAGCTATTCTAGCTACTATTAGAAAAAATATAATTTAAAAAAAAAAATCTTAGCTTTAACGCTAACTACGTAGTTTCTAATTATTATTAATAGAGATATATTAATCGAAAGAGTAAGAATTTTAATCTTAAAAGTAAAAGAAAAAAGAAATCTCTATTATTATAAAGAAGTCTCGACGCGAGTATTTATTTTAGAGATAAAATATCTTAATAGTAAGTAAATAATCTTACGATTAATCTTAATCTCGGTTTTAAACTTTAATTAAGTTAATTTTAAGAAAAATAATTAAAGCTTTTAGCTATTAAGATAGTTAGTATAATTTTAATAATATAGTATTATATCTATATATAAGAGATAAATCTCTATTATTACGATATTCTTAAACTATTCTAATATCTTTAAAATTTATTAATTATTTAACTTTTTAATAGAATATTATTCGCTATTTCGAGTATTAATAAATAATAAATCTTTATAAATAAAGATCTAAATTATATCGAGTTAATTTTAAAGCTTAGTAAGATTTCTCTTATACGTTTAAATCTCTAGCGTATTATAAGAGATATTTTAATAGCGAGAGTAAGTATATATTAAGCTCTCTTATCGATTTTAATTTAATATTAAAATAATTAATCTCTAAGTCTTTATTAGAGTTAATCTTTAACGAAGACCTCTTTAATCTTTAAGCGCGCTCGATTTCGTTAGTACCGCTTACTTTAATTACTTTTTTAAGCTCTATTAATATATAGACTTTATTTTTAAATTTAAATTTTAATAGAGTAAGCTTATTTAGTTTATTCTCTAATAAAAAGAGCTTATTAAATCTCTAAGTACTATATTTTTTAAGAAATTTAAAATTTTAATCTCTTTAAGCCGCCTTAATAATATTAATAAATTTAAAGATATCTTTAACTATTAAATTTAAAAGTAATAATTTAAGAATAAATTAAAGCTACTTAGACTATAGCGCTATATCGAAAAAAACTATATAAAGTTAATTATTAATATTATTATTATTAAAGTCTAAGTTAATAACTAATTATAAATATAAAATTAAATCTATACTATATTAAAATCGCGTTATAAAAAAAATTTATATTCTAAAATTAAGAATAAGATTAATATTAAAGAAGTCTAGAAGACTCTAAATAAGTTTAAATCTCAAGAATTAAATATTCTTAATTTTATATTTAGAAAGATAAATAACGTTATTCTTACGGAGTATAATTATTAGAACTAGTATAGAGGCATATTATATAGGTGAGATAGAATAGAATAATAAGACTATCGAACTATGTATGTGGAAAGGAGGTATAATATAATAGGGGATGCCTCCGCCAAGGCCCGCTAGCCATAGGGCTGAGGGGTGTGTTAAGGATACGCTTGTAACACTAGTTCTCTCTCTCAATAGCCATGGCCTCCATGGCTGGTAGACCGGAGATGTAGGCCCATTACTTACCTTATATCTCCAAACATCCATAGTCCGTATAGACCTCGACCGGAGACGATTTTGCCGAGATATAGTGGTAGCAAACGAAAACATCGGATGGTTTCAATTCGTTCAAAAACACCATGTCCGAGGTTTTGCCGAGCCGTATACTGGTCTTAACTATGCTATACCTGCCATACCCATATTGTCCTTCAGAGATCCTGAAGATATTGGCCATATCTTGCCTGCGTGCCAGCAAGATTCTCCAAGTTCTTCTCTTGTCCAGTCTTCTTGTTATAATCCTTCGGTAGAATTAAAGAAAATCCAACGTATGCATGTATCATAAATTCCACCCAATATCTGTTGGCGGGTACGCTCGTAACAATAATAATAACTCTTAATTCTATATCGATAGATTTATAAAGATTTTAAACGAGTTTAATAACTTATTCTCGAAGCTAAAGTTCGATAAGAATTAAAAGATTTATCGCTTTTATTTAGGCTTAGATTCTTTATATAATTTATACTATAAATAGTATAATTAAAATTATAACGTCTTTAAGAATAATAATATTATAAAGTTTAATCTAGATTATATAATTACTCGATTTATTAATATCGTAATTAATTTTATTAACTCGATTAGTATTAAAGCTTATATACTAGCTACGCTAGTTAATAAATTCTTTATATATAATTTATAAAGTATTATTATATTAGTTATTATCGACGAAGTTATTAAATATAGAATTTAATAAGAAACTTATATTAATAACTTTTATATTTAGATTTAGATTTATAAATATTATAATTATTATAAAAAGAACTAATATAATAACGTCGAATATATTATTTTATATTTTAAATTTAAGAAATAAAATAGTAATAATAGTAGAGAAGATTATAATAATCGCGGAGATTATAATAATTATAGCGATAAAGATAGCGATAAAGATAATAATAATAATAATTTCTTTAGCTCGAGTAATAAAGATAAAGATAAAAATATTTAAAATAATAAGCTTACTATCGATTATTAGTCTAGCAATATTAAGATTATTATAGCGTATACTTAATTAGCGATAATATATAGTTTTATAATATATATTAATCTTAATCTAAAGAATATTATATATCTTATTATTAATTCTTAGTTTTTATAGAATTAAGTCTATTATTTTTTTATTAAAAAGGCTTAAAGACTATAGCTTAAACTTCTTCGATATTTATAATCGCTATATTATTATATTTATAATTTATTAATAATATTTATACTTAATATATTACTTATAACTTCTTAATCTTTTAAATCTTTATTTTATTTAAATTATATTATTTAATTAATAAAGTTAATAATTTAGCTATAATTATAAACTTTAGATATATTAAATTTAAATATAAGAGTCTTAGAGATAAATAAACTCTATATATAGAAGATATCTAATATATTCTTAATAATAATTTTAATTTAATTTTTTAAGAGTAACTTAAAGATTAAAATTATTCTCTTTAGCTTATACTTAAGAGTATTAAAGTAGAAGAGTATAATATTATTTTTAAATATTAATATAATTATCTTTATACGCTAGATATATAAATAGAGACTCTTATATACTTAATAGTTATTAATAAAGATATTTCTATCTATAATAAATTT